ACTGTAGCCCGATTCAATTTCCGGTAATCGATACAAAGTCTCACGGCACCATCTTTCTTTTTAGCAAAGAGGGCCGGTGCTCCCCACGGCGAAACACTAGGGCGAATGAAGCCCTTATCTAGTAACTCCTGGAGTTGAATTTTCAACTCACTCAACTCGGCTGGGGCAAAACGATAAGGTGCCATAGAAATCGGCGCCGTGTCAAGCACTAAGTCAATAGAGAACTCGATCTCTCGATGTGGTGGCAAACTCACAAGATCCTCGAGAAAAACGTCTGAGTACTCACAAACCACTCTCGGCAATACAGTCTGGGTCTCATCACACTCACTACTCATAAAACTAGCGAGAAGACCACTAAGCTCACTCCGCCCTCGCGGATCATACATCGGTGGCAACACACTACCAACCCGATCCCCCAAGAAATGGATACAATCCCCGCTCAAGGTACATACTATTTCATGTCAACATACTATTTCATGTCAACAATCATTTTTATATCATCTTAATCAAATGGGTGAGAAGTAATTTTTATTAGAAGGAACTTTTGGTTTTGAATTACAAAGTAATTAAGCTTTCTAAAGCTGTTCATGAAGAGGAAAGATGATTTTTGATTTTTGATTTTACAAACTCATCATTTTGTTACTCATAAAGAAAAGTGATTGATCAGCACTTCAAAATTTGGAGATAGATTTCAATCTGGCTCATAAATAATCATTCTATCAGAGAAAGTTCTTTGGACAATTGGTATTTAATCTAAACTCAAAAAAGATGGTTAATGTCATTTAAAATCCTGGTATGAACAACGTCAAAAGAATTAAATGAGCAAATTGGATTGTATGTAAATTATAGTATAAAAGGAGAAAACTACTCCTATGAAGCTCCTCAAAATTGGATAGCATTATCAAAAATAAAAAATTGATAAACTACACTGACCACCGGAAGTATAAAAAAAAATATACTAAATTCTCACAAGTTTAAGATAATTACACCAAAAAAAAAATGAGAAAGAAAATCCAAAAAAACAGAGATCAAGGTGCTAACCAGATCGAGAAACAGCAATCTAGAAGACAAAAAACAAAGATCAAAACATAATCAGAAATCAAACAAAAAATTGAAAAAGAACAAAATGTGACCATTGATAATTAAAGAGAGCCTCGACCATTTGACAATGATGAAATAAAAACGATTCTTAACATGAAATCCATTTTTCTTTATCCCCAATTTGATAGAGAGAGAGAGAGAGAGAGAGAAGTGGGTCAATCTAATTAATGTTAAAAAGGAACTAAGAAAAAAAACACAACACAAATTTTTTTTTTTTTTTGCTTCAGGAAAAAACATTGGGTGAAGTCAGGAAGAGCAAAATAAATCTGAGATAATAAACAACAATGCATATGATTCAAACTTCCTTTTCCTCTCTCTCTCTCTCAACAATCAACAACCAAACTAAAAAAACAAAAACAAAAAAAAAAGAGAAAGAAAATCCAAAAAACAGAGATCAAAACACAATGTGACCAATTAAAGAGAGCCTGAACCCATTGTGTTGGGTCAATCCAATTAATGTTAAAAAGGAACTAAGAAAAAAACACGACACAAAATTTTTTTTTTTTGGCTTCAGATTGTGTTTTGATCAAACAACAATGCATATGATTCAAACTTCCTTTTCTTCTCTCTCTCTTTCTCAACAATTAAAAAAGAACAAAATGTGACCTATTAAAGAGAGCCTCAACCGATTGTGTTGGGTCAATCCAATTAATGTTAAAAAAGAACAAAGAAAAAAACACAACACAGATTTATTTATTTTTATTTTTTGCTTCAGATTTTTTTTGCTTGAGATTGTGTTTTGATCAAACAACAACACATATGATTCAAACAACAATGCATATGATTCAAACTTCCTTTTCCTCTCTCTCTTTCAACAATTAACAGCCAAACTAAAAAAACAAAAACAAAAAAAAGAGAAAGAAAATCCAAAAAACAGAGATCAAAACACAATGTGACTAATTAAAGAGAGCCTCAACCCATTGTGTTGGGTCAATCCAATTAATGTTAAAAATAAACTAAGAAAAAAACACAACAAAGATTCTTTTTTTTTTTTTTTTTGTGTGTGTTTTGATCAAACAACAATGCATATGATTCAAACAACAATGCATATGATTCAAACTTCCTTTTCCTCTCTCTCTCTCTTAAAAATTGAAAAAGAACAAAATATGACCAATTAAAGAGAGCCACAACCCATTGTGTTAGGTCAATCCAATTAATGTTAAAAAAAGAACTAAGAAAAAAGCACAACACAGATTTATTTATTTATTTATTTTTGCTTCAGATTGTGTTTTGATCAAACAACAACACATATGATTCAAACAATAATGCATATGATTCAAACTTCCTTTTCCCCCCTCTCTCTCTCAACAATCAACAGGCAAACTAAAAACAAAAAAAAAAAAACAAAAAAACAAAAAAAACAAAAAAAAGAGAAAGAAAATCCAAAAAACAGAGATCAAAACACAATGTGACCAATTAAAGAGAGCCTCAACCCATTGTGTTGAGTCAATCCAATTAATGTTAAAAAAGAACTAAGGAATGAAGCTTCTATTGGTGCAGTGCGAGGCAAAATGACTGCATCAATCTGTCAGACAAATTGGCATCAGTTCTAGGCCATAAAGATCACTTATCTAGTAAACATCTAAGGACATATCCAATGAAAATGGAATAATTCTAATGTGCTGTGCAATATATTATAAAGCAATTTCATCCTAAATAGTGAAGCTATTACAGGAATGGAGATTCCATTAATCTTTGGAATATGAGCAAAACATAGTTATCTTTTTTTTTTTTAGGTACATCGGAAAGAAAAAACATAGTCATCTCAAAAGCATTTTTTTTTTTTATTGATAAATAGTCTTCCATTTTTTCCAATCAATGTTATGTTCAATCATCAATGTTACGTTCAACCATTTTTTCCAATCAATGTTATGTTTAATCATTTTTTCCAATCAATGTTATGTTCAATCATCAATGTTACGTTCAACCATTTTTTCCAATCAATGTTATGTTTAATCATTTTTTCCAATCAATGTTATGTTCCATTTTTTTCATTAATCTTTTTTTTTTTTTTTTGCTGTGCAATACATTAAGGTTGTGTTCAATCAATGTTTGGATCATTCAAAATTTTTCATATGAATTCAGGTAAGTTACTATTATTTACTTTCTGTTACTTAGGCTACTTTCTATTTTGGATCTTTCAAAACATCTTGCTGATTAAATAAGCTATTGTGTAGTATAACTCATTGGAGTAATTAATTTTTTTTTTTATTGTAGTTTTTCTATATTGAAGTTTTGCTATAATTTTATTCATAAGTAGTATAATTTATATTTTTTTATAATTTTTTTTTTTTTGTGGTATAGATTAGTTATTAGTAAGAAAAGTGGGCAATATAATCCATAAGGATTTAATTGTTGTACAATCCATAAGAATTTAATTGTTGTCAATGCAAAATTATTATATAGAATTAACCACAAAATCATGTATTACGATAGTTTTACATTTTGGCCAATAGAAAAAAATGATGAAGATTGCTATGACAGTATTTAATTTTTCTTTTATTCTTTTTAATATATATTGAAGACATAAATAAAAATTATAATTTGTCTTCTATCCTGTAGTAGTTCAATTTTTCAACTTCTTAAAGTAGGTTGTTAACTGGACCACCAAAACTCTTTTTAATCTCAGCCATTGTTTTTAAATTAGACAGATTTGGACCATTAAAGATAGTTTGTGAGAGAGATATCTTTACAAATAAATCTGAGTCATTGCTTTTCAAATTAGATAGATCTGAACCATTAATTTGAGAGACATTTTCAAATGAATCCTTCCATTATTATATAGATGTCTCATTTATTTATTTAATTATTATTGTTATTTTTTTGAGTTAGTGATGTTTGGTTCACTTTAATGATGAAATACACAAAGTCGAGTTAGACCATTGTGGTAAATCGGCTTCCACCTTACATCATGAGTGAGAAGATGATGAAGCGAAATGGTAGTTAATTTATTAGCATGTGAACCTATTCTTGGAGAGAGTGGGAAATGACTTATTGTGAAACACTGGCACTGTTATTTTCAAATTGTGGAGCAGTAAATTGTTACAGATGTACCTATTTTGAGTAAGTTGCCAACGTATTTCAAGTGGGAATAAGTCCAAATCAAAATTAAGTGGACGGTAGTTCAAGAAAAACTTGGGTTTAGATTTTGACAATTTAATTTGTTTATTTTGCTGTTTATAAGGATGGAAAGACTAATTTTTATAAGTGTTAATCTGACATTTAATAATTGATTTTTATCAATAAAATAAAAAATAAAAATTATATAGGGCATCCAAGAGATTCCCCAAGCGAGAATTTGAAAAAGTAATATAGGTGGTCAAAACTTTTTTTGCATGGCCTTTTTTGATTTTGAAGCATTTGAATGGACTGAAAAATGGTGTTAATTAATTTACTAACTCAAACTGCCTTTGATTTTGAAGCTTTAAATTAAGCTTTGAACCGATAAGCGTTAGTACCAGTTTGATTTATCAGAATTCATGCACCTTACTTAAAAAAAAAAAATTAATGGTTCAGATCTTCTACCTATGAATATGTGCATATTGTGGCCCAATTGGGGTTTTGAGTTTGGGGCATTAGAAAGCCAATGGGATGGTCTAGAATTTGTATCATTTTGGGCCAGAAATGTAGACCTCAAAATTTTCAAAAAGGCCTTAGACCATCTCCAACGCTTCAGCAAACGTGATATCAAATTCAAAATTTGATGAAAAAGTCACTTTTTTGAGCTCCAACCGTCAAATTTAGTGAAAAATCTGAGTAACCGTTGGAGATGCTCTTATGCACGAGCACATCAGTTGGAACGCGTGGGGACAAAAAGCAAAGAGTGCGTACTACACGGCACGTGTAGTAGCGAACGACGTCGTCGTCTGGTTTATCCATCTAGTCTAGTACTAGACCTTTGCGCTTACAGACGGAGCAGAGTAGTTGGAGAAGAAAAGGACAGTTAAACAGTAGTAGTAAGTAAGTTGTTCAAAAGATCGAGATCTTTACAAACAACCCACTTCGACAAAAGCTGACTTCGATTTCGATTTCACTTCAAATTTCGTTTTTCACTTCAAATTTCGCTCTGTAAACGTTCTTCAGAGTCTCTCTACTTATTTGCCCCCCAATCTTTGCTCTTCAATGTGGCGAGTTCTGGAATTGTCCCAGCCCCAAAGGTATGGGTTTTCTTCATATATTTTGTTTTTGTTTTTTTGTTTTTGTCTTGAGTGTCTGAAATCATAGTGTTTTTTATGCTTTCGTTGTTGCTGAGGAATTACCTCTTTTTTTTTTTTTGTTTTTTTTGTTACCACTTTTGAAAAGCAAAACCCTTTTTCTTTTTGAAATTTTTTGCTCCATAAAGCTCAGAGAGAGAGAGAGAGAGAGAGAGAGAGAGAGGATTTTAAAATGCCACCCAAACTGTAAATAAGATCCAAGCCCCTGAAGAAGAAATTGATAATAATAACATTAACTGCAAATTGAAATCTCAAAGTTGTAGTTGTAAGATAAATTGATAGAGAGAAAGAGAGAGAATAAATTGTGTATTGATTGATATGTATTGATGTATTACAAGATTGTTGTGTATATATTTTGTACAAGAATTCCTATTATATAGGAGATAATTCTGGAGTAGGTGAGGAGTGAGTGGTGGAGGTAGGTTTGGTGGAGTGTAGTAGGTGATAGGAGTAGTAGGTGGAGGTAGGTTTGGTGGTAGGTGTAGTAGTAAATAAGATCCAAGCCCCCAAAGAAGAAATTGATAATAATAACATTAACTGCAAATTGAAATCTCAAAGTTGTAGTCTTGGCGATTACTCTTTTGGAGTACTCTCAAATTCAGTAAAAAATAATGAATCTGGACCCTACATTATTTTTTCTGAGTATTTTTTTGTGCACGAATTCTGTCTCGGTAGCATTGCTCTATCAAATTCGTTACTTTTAGTCTAGTCCCGCCAATATTCTATGCATTTAGTTTCATTATTCTTTAAAAAGTACTTCTAATTGTGGTAATACTTTCTTTTCTTTTTTGTGTATATATATAATGTTTATAATCATAAGCATATTCATAGCTTATATACAATGCTAGCAATCTCCGTTTCAAACATTCTCGCAGTTCACTTTCAATTCTGATTAGAGAAAGAAGATAATCACGGAACATGAAAAGTACCTGGTTCGGCTATGTGCATGCCGGTGTGAGTTTGCTAAAACTCAAGAAAGTTATTGAGTTTTGAGGAAGAAAGTCATTGGGAATGAAGAAGTGGTCCGGTGGCTTGTTGATTTTAGCACTTGCTAGCATTTTGTTTCTGCGTTACTGCTTTATGGGTAAAAAACAGCCGCAGAAGCAGTCATCATACGATTTCTTCAATAACCATCCGCCTGATGATTATGATATTATTCGGGACAATGATGAAGCTGATTCATCTCAAACGACAACGAAAATTTTACAAATTAATGTGAAGAAAAAGCCCCACCTTATTGATATTAAAGGGCTTCGTGATCTTTACAGTCCGAAAAATATTTCTAGCGAAGAGTCTAAGGCATTTCTTGTATGGGCTCAAATGCATTCATTACTCTCTAGGTCAGATGCTCTGCCTGAAACGGCTCAAGGGATCAAAGAGGCTTCCATTGCATGGAAAGAATTACTGTCTGTGATTGAGAAGGAAAAAGCCTCCAAGTTTTATGAGACTAACAATAATGAACATAAAGATTGTCCTTACTCTATTACTGCATTCAATTCAACAATATCGAGCAGTGGAAGTGTTCTTCAGATTCCTTGTGGTCTAGTTGAGGATTCGTCAATTACGGTGATCGGCATACCTGATGGGCACCGTGGTACATTCCAAATCAAACTTGTAGGCTCACAGTTTACAGAGGAAGCAACGCCCCCAGTAATTTTGCATTACAATGTCAGCCTGCCGGGGGATAACCTAACGGAAGAGCCAGTCATAGTTCAAAATACATGGACTAGTGAACTAGGTTGGGGCAAAGAAGAACGATGTCCTGATCATGGGTCCTTTAATGCCCTGAAAGGTATATTATTATACATTATTTTCTAAATTGCAATTTTTTTTTATTATTTGGGATTCTATCCATGCTGTGTGTTTCCCCCCCTCAAATGCTAGCATGTTGTTAGCCTGACACATCCGTTGCTATAAGATCACATATTTTCTCATTTTGATGTGTGAATTTGGAGGTCTACACAACAGTGGCCAATGTACATGCCTCCCTATGGTATACATATTGAAAGTGCTTTACAATATTTACTACTAACCCTAATAAAGGATCCTAAATCATGTGCATAGAAATCAGTTGGTGAACCATCTCTGTTTCACCTTTGAATTCATTGTTGGATGGAGAGCTATCTTATTTGTTTACGAACTCTACTAATATTCGAATGAGTTCATATCCCTTATAAAATTCAGTTGACTCAGGAAGGGGGGAAAACAAAAAACAAAAAAAACAAAAGCACTTCATTTTTAACCATGCTATTCCTCACAATTAGCCACCTAACATGCCTTTTGGCAGGAATTACACTTGATGGACACATGAAATGCAATGAACAAGTTGTCAGAAGCACTGTGGAACAGAATTTAAATGCAAGCCATCCCGATGGTGACAAGTTGACCAATGTTTCCAATGGAAGTGCTCATGTGAGTGCTAATTTCCCATTTGTTGAAGGTAATCCATTTACTGCAACATTGTGGGTTGGATTAGAGGGATTTCACATGACTGTGAATGGAAGGCATGAAACATCCTTTGCATATAGGAAGGTAAGGTATGGGACCCATGAAGGAGCTAACCGGAATCAATGTCGGGACAGTTTACAGAGTCTTGTCGGACCTATGAAGGAGCTAACCGGAATCAATGTCGAGACACTTTACAGAGTCTTGTCGGACCCTTGGAAAATACACTGTATGATGGTGTATATAGGCTGCCCAAATATATATATATATGGATATATATAGTGAGCCCTCAAAAGGCGCGCCCACTTCATCAAAAGGCGTGCCCGACAGAAAGCGTCGAGCCATCAAAAGGTGAGCCGGAGACGCGGCGAGGCACGTGAGCGACAGAGTGGCGTGTCGGCCGCGTCGTCAGTGCCGATATAAACCAATGCGGAGGCTGTGGAAACCAAACCAGGCTGAAACCTCTGAACATTGTCAGACTGAAACACTCTGAAAATACTCTGGATCCAACCCTTCTCTGAAAAACGCTGCGTTTTCGGAGAGAGAAACTTTGTAACACTCTGTAACCAATCCTTCTCTGAAAGTACCAGTCGGAAATCGCTGCGTCGCTGAAACACTCAGCAACCCAAAAAACATGGCCTCGTCTTCCCGTTCAGCTACCCAGAATATGGCCTCTTCGTCCCGTGGTCTGCTCACTCTCTTTCCCGACCTCAACGAGTCAACAAGAGAAATAACTGGTGCGGTGGCCCGTGAACCTCAGCCAAACACCTCTGATTTTGCTCCGTTGAACTTTCCGATGCGATCTGTGGAGCAAAAAATGGCGGTGCAAACTGATATTGAGGCCAATCAGTATACTCTGAAGTCATGTGTGGAAACCATGACTGCGGTCACAAACTTGTCGCACCGGCTGCAGAGCAGGACAAATGAGGTGCAACAGTTAAACTCCCAGCTGGCTCTGCTCCAACGCATGTATAAGGATGCGCGAGCAGAGATAAGTGTGCTAAAGGCAGAAAACAAGGAGCTGAAGCGGAAGGCCACCGTGATGTTCCGATTTGGAGGTCCACCATATGCTGTAGTGGAGGAGCAGAGTATTGTTTTGGTAGAGAGAGAGAAACCGTGTCTCCCCCCTCCTCCAATGGGTGTGTGTGTATGAATCACATACATGCCTCTGTGTGAGTTCTGTGGAAGTCGAGGATTGTGAAGCGAAGTGTGTGGCCTCCTCTGCAGATCTCGGCGAAGGTGGGGAAGAAGTGCCAGAACGACGGGCCGTCCATGACGGCGTGATTGACGGTGCATCCGACGAAGATTCCGTCGCCGAGCTCCGTCACCTGCACAGCGGCCAAGGGCTTGTGGGGCCTTAGCTGAAGATGATGATGAGTGTGCTGTTCGGAAAACAGGTCTGGATTTGAGGCTGTTTACGGAAGAACCAGCGTGGGTTGTACAAGGAGCAGTTGAGGTTGACATTGGTGCAAATCTCAGAGAGACAAGAGTTCAGTTCAGTTATGGAATTTGTGGTAGCGGAATGAAGGTATGTGTAGAAAATAAGCGGAATAGGTGGAGGTCCGGCGGACGGCTAAGGTGAGGTTGCCGCCCGCCGGTGAAGCGAAAAAATATTAGGTTCTAAACCTGCTCTGATACCATGTTAAAATTGATGTATAAAAAAAAATAGAGAATTATATTATTGATTGATGTATGTTATATTACAAATGGTGAGGGGCTCCTTATATAGGAGATGTAGTAGAGTAGGTGGTAGTAGGTGGTAGTGGTAGGTGTGTAGTAGGTGGTAGTAGGTGGTGGTAGGTGTAGTAGGTGGAGTAGGTGATGGTAGGTTTTAACACTATGGTATACATATTGAAAGTGCTTTACAGTATTTACTACTAACCCTAATAAAGGATCCTAAATCATGTGCATAGAAATCAGTTGGTGAACCATCTCTGTTTCACCTTTGAATTCATTGTTGGATGGAGAGCTATCTTATTTGTTTACGAACTCTACTAATATTCGAATGAGTTCATCTTCCTTATAAAATTCAGTTGACTCAGGAAGGGGGGAAAACAAAAAACAAAAAAAACAAAAGCACTTCATTTTTAACCATGCTATTCCTCACAATTAGCCACCTAACATGCCTTTTGGCAGGAATTACACTTGATGGACACATGAAATGCAATGAACAAGTTGTCAGAAGCACTGTGGAACAGAATTTAAATGCAAGCCATCCCGATGGTGACAAGTTGACCAATGTTTCCAATGGAAGTGCTCATGTGAGTGCTAATTTCCCATTTGTTGAAGGTAATCCATTTACTGCAACACTGTGGGTTGGATTAGAGGGATTTCACATGACTGTGAATGGAAGGCATGAAACATCCTTTGCATATAGGAAGGTAAGGTATGAGTTTACCTACAATTCACCAGACAAAACACTGGATAATTTATTGGAATATGTAATCTTATAGGAGTGATTGTTTCCACCCTGGAGAATGCAGAAACTTGAACCGTGGTTGGTTAGTGGAGTCAAAGTGGCAGGTGGTTTGGATCTCATATCCGCAATAGCTAAAGGGTTACCGGTTTCTGAAGATTTGGATTTGATTGTTGATGTTGAGCACCTCAAAGCTCCGCCAATTTCCAAGAAAAGACTTGAAATGCTAATTGGGGTTTTCTCCACCGGAAATAATTTTGAGCGTCGTATGGCATTGAGGAGGTCTTGGATGCAATATGAAGCTATACGCTCCGGCAATGTGGCTGTTCGATTTTTCATTGGTCTGGTAAGTGAGCATTGTTGTTGGGAGGAATGTGTTCAGTTGTACCAAGATAGTTTTCATTTTCTTTGATTTGCTTCAGACTTTGCTCAAACAAGAATCTAGTAAGTCTGTCCTCATGTTTCATACATGGATATGTATATGTATATATTATTAGTTTGAGAGATTACATGTAATTACTACTGTAGTTTGCATCATGGACTGTGATTCCCTGCAGAGTTGCTAATTTAAGATTAATTTTTGTTTTTTTGCAACCTGCAGCACAAGAACAAGCAGGTCAATTTCCAGCTGTGGAAAGAAGCTCAAGCATATGAAGATATCCAACTGATGCCATTTGTTGATTACTACAGTCTGCTCACTTTAAAGACAGTCGCAATTTGCATTCTAGGGGTAGGTAGATGATTGTTTGGTGAACAGAAAGAGCTTGCTGCTGTAGTTTAATTATTTGATTATTGATACAAGCATAATTGTGGTCAGTCTCACCAAAGTATTACTAAATTGATATTCTTATTAATCTTCACAGTTCTCAATCTTTAGCATTGCATATAAACATAGTTTTGGATTTGGTAGTACCATAAAACAGTGGACCTTTTAGAGGAGCGGACAGAAAACTTAGCTCGTTTTGCTTTTTTACTCTCTCTTTCTTTCCATTTTTCCTCTTTATCTATTCTTTTCAAAAATGTGTAGCTAGTCAAAACATGGTTTATTCATGGAACCAAAACGTGATCTATTCTTTGGCCTTCTTCTTCTCTTTCTTCTTCTTCTTCTTCTTCTTCTTCTTCTTCTTCTTCTTCTTCTTCTTCTTTTAAAAATATATATATATATATATATATTTCCAATGAATCTTCAGTTTTTCTTACAACTCTTTTATTTGAGGCTCACCTATTAATAATTTATCCTTTAAATTTGCAGACCCAAATTCTCCCTGCCAAATATATAATGAAAACAGATGATGATGCTTTTGTTAGGGTAGATGAAGTTCTTTCTAGTCTGAAAGGGAAAAAGGTTTCTAATGGCCTCTTGTATGGTCTTATATCCTTTGAATCATCACCCCATAGGGACAAAGACAACAAATGGTATATCAGTGCTGAGGTATCAATCTAACTAGATTTCAGTTTTATGTAGGTTGATATTAGCCTCATTTTATTTTTTATTTAATTTGATTAGTGATCTCTTGGCAGGAATGGCCACATGAATCATACCCGCCATGGGCCCATGGTCCAGGTTATATAATTTCCAAAGATATTGCAAAATTCATTGTCCAAGGCCACCAACAAAGAGTCCTCCAGGTGTTATTCATCTACACTTGCTTATGAAGGCAAAACAACTCTTGTTTATGCTTCATCTGTTATGTTACGTGTCATTGTCTGTATATGGGTGGAACATCACCCTCTTTTGTTTCACTTTCAAAATCAATTTTTTGAATTTTTTTAATAAAAAGGTAGAAACTAGTTTGACAAAAATAAAGCACCAAAAAGATATTTTAGAATGTCCAAAAAAGATGTGAAAATGATGAATGCTTTTTATTTTCCCATTTTTTCACCATACTAGTTCTTGGGTTGAACTTAATTATTAATCACTGTCTTATTTTCAAATGCTGAAATTATCTGTCTGAGCTTTGTACTCTTTCTGAATATATCATCTTAAAATTCTTGCTTATCTTTATGTCTTTTCAGCTTTTTAAACTAGAAGACGTTGCTGTTGGCATATGGATTGAGCAATTCAAGGAACAGGGTCACAAAGTGCAGTGTATCAGTGATGAGAGATTCTACAATGCTGGATGCGAGACAAATTACATTCTCGCCCATTATCAGAACCCAAGGAAGGTGTTATGCCTGTGGGAGAAGTTACAGAAAGAGCATGAGCCTCAATGCTGTGAATGAGTATTCTCCCTACTGAAAACCCAAGTCAACAGCTCTAGGAACCAGGTCGTGTGTCAAAGTTTCTGCAAGATGTTGGGCAGATTTGTGCTCAATATGTTGATATCCCTTTGGCCTTTCTGTGTTGTACGGTATGTGTGCTCTTTCATGTATCCTTTTACAAGCTTTTTCATTTTGGATTCATTGATCTGATCTCACAGCATTTGTTGATTTGTTACAATTGGTAAGTAAAATTCATGTAATGAAAACATTAAATGATATTTGAGAGTGGGCCATTTTTCTTTTACTATTCCACAGACACAACTAATAGGATTGATTGCCTTTCCTAATCCAAAAGGTAATAGCAAGTTGAATGGTAGAAGTTTGCCAAGGTATTGACCTCTGACCTAGGAATACTTTTGCAGGTCAATGGATTGTCTAGCCCATTAGTGAAAAAGAAAAGCAATCCAATTTGTGGGTGGGAAAGTAGTATGTGGTTTGTTTGTAGAACCATGGACCATATGAAGTCTTGGTCCAGCTCTCTAAGCTGGCATATTTTTCGGTTTATTTTTGCTTTTAGTGAACTTTTTCAACTTTGAGTTAAATTTTAGACTAGATGATCTTAAAATTATAATTTAATTTTTCAATAACTCCACTGAAAGATGAAAAAAAGCCAAATTTCTGATCATTTGAAGAACACACAACACACATAACCATACCTAAGGTTGAAGAAAGTCCAAAATCACACACTCAAACACCAAGACGGACCATATTCAAACATACAGTAACAAGTTGAGAGTTACTAAGTTTCTTTATGGAATTCAGATTCACCACTATTTGGGCAGTGTAATATATATAATGCCTATTCTGTATGTGGAGTTGCAGATGCATGCTGGTGCCAACTTTTTGTACCTACTCTGTATGTATAATTTAGAAATACTTGAAAAACCAAGTTTTCTTAGGAAAGCAATTCTGTTGCATAGATGTGCACATGCATGGATAATCTTTGCGCTAATCAATTTTATGCTCTACCCTTTTTTTCTCCCAACAGTTTGGTATTAGGTTGCATGCTGCTTTTTTGGCCGAAGATTTTGTTTGGATCTTAAGTTTGTGGAGAAATTTGTTGAGGAAAAAAACAGAACAAAATTTAGGCTTCTACTTCAATTTTTATTTTTTTTGTTCTATTTTCTCTTCACAAATCAAAATCCAAACATAATTGAAAATGTTCTTTTTTATTTTATTTTATCTTGTTAGCATCACCAACTACTCATCACATTTTATTCTACATTACATTGAATATTCTAGTCCTCAACTTAGCTAAGAAGGAACTTTCCAACCTCCACCTAATTACTTTTATTATTCTCTCTCTCTCTCTCGATGCACATACACTTACAACGTGAAAAAAATAGTGGGTCAGTTTTGATGGCTACATTATTCAACTTTGATAAGTAAAGCGCTTCCCTTACTGTTAAAGGAAAAAAAGAAAGCTAGCTTATGAGGTAAGCTATTTTGATTGGCATTGTCTTTAATCAAATCAAATGAATTGGAATTGTGATAAGTGTTGTGCTCAGCTCTGTATTTTAGTGAGTTAAAGTTGTGACCTCATCTTGATCTTATGGTAGCCAGTTAAATATCAACAATTAATAACCCTACCACGGTCCGGTATGATTAAACGTGGCATTTATTGGGATGATTAATCAATTTTGTCCTATGATTAAAAGTGGCGCTTATTGAGATGATTAATCAGTTTGTCCTTCACCATAACCTTTTAATAAACATCTGGTGAAATAAATAAATAAGAGCACATTGCTTAAAGTGTGTTTTGAAATGGGAATCAGTTCATTGATAATCGTTTGCTAACCATTATTCTATGTGGTCTCTATCTAATCATCATTTTATATCTTAAACTTAGTTTATTTTATTTTATTTTATTTTCGTAATAATTCTATCATCTGAATTTGATGAGAACTTTGGAGGGTTGACTTAAGTACACATAATTGGTTTAGAAGTTGTTGCACACTTTCTATTCAGAATGGAATGGATGATGATAAACAATCACTAAAATTAAGATGCAAAGTAATCCCTCACTTTTTTGAATTTGAAAATAATATCTTAAAAATTTTAAACTTAAAAATTCAGTTAGACAAAAAATTTAGTATAGAAAGCTTTTGGCACTTAATTTTTAGTTTTGTGAAACAAGGTTTGTGAGTATAAGAGATAATTGGCGATTACTTTATCAACTTTTTAATGAGACTATTATTTGGAGCCACAAATTAATATCAAGAAGCAGTTAAAGAACATGAAGGTCTAAAGTATATTAATTATATCAATTGACTAGTCAATAATTTTAGTAAATTTTTAATTTTTTATGAAAAGATATATAAAAAAATAAAGAGAATGATGTGATAATTTATAGTGATTTTTTAATTTTTTAATTAAAATGTATAGTTGACAAACAAGAATTAAATTAATAAAATATTTTTTTTTGGAAATATATATTTGATTTGAACAAATTTTAGCTGTAATTCTATCTTTAACAAAATTGGGTGGGAAAATTAGATTCCTAAAAAATAAAAATGAATATAAAAATAGGGACAAAAAATATTGAAAAAATGACGGCATCGTAATTTAAAAGAAAAAATAAAAATACCCGCTTTAAAAAAAATTAATATGAGTTTTGGGACATAAAAAGGAAATTGTTTGTCAAATTATGATAAGTAGGGGCAATTTAGTAAATTAGCATAGGAATCCGTAGGAGAGAGGAAAACTACATGGAGCTTCTATTTACACCCACCCATTCCCCTCTTTACATATCTTTTTCAATAAATAATTGGTTCGGAAGTAGATTTTCGAAAATAAGTAATTGGTTCGGAAGTTGTTTTTTGAAAAATAAATAATTGGTTCGGAAGTAAACTTCTGAATTTTTATTATTTTTTCGATACTCAACTTTCGAATGTGTTTATTTAATGTCTATAATAGTAATTTCACTTGAAAAAAAATTTATAATAAAAATAATTTTTATGAAGTGCGTGCAAAGAGGGGAAGGTGGATGTGTAAATAGAAGCTCCAAAAACCACAACCTCCACAATGCTATAAAAGTCTCTGGATTCGTAATTTGGTTTTTTCTCATCTTTCTTTCCAAACCCTAATTCTCGAAGTTCATCAGTCTCTTTCTCTCTCTCTACAATCACAGTCTAAGAAGAAGAAGAAGAAGAAGAAGAAGAAGACTTTCCCTCTCTACATCTGTATTCACAGTTTAAGAAGAAGAAGAAAAGACTAAATCGATCGATCAATCGATCTAACTATAGTGGGTGAGAACATGGTAGCCGATACAGGGGTATTATTGCGTCAACAGAGCGTCTCTGTTCTCGATCTCGATGTTCAGAACTTCTTGGACGTCTCTTCCGCTACACCGCCGCTGAAGCCGTCTTCGGAGTCTGTCTCGGTCGAAATCTCATGCTTTGAATCGGTCGGTCTCGATTCCCTGAACTTCACTCTTAATTCGCTTCTTGATTTATCATTGCTGTCTCTTACTTCTGTCGATTTTTTGAGTTAAATATCAGATGATATATATATATATATATATGTATGCATGTTTGTACACGAGAGGCATATAACTGATGAATTAGATTGATAATTGATGTTGTATACTTGGCGTTTCCTTTGTTGTATTTTCTTTTAGAAGAGAATATGCCTTTTTTTTTTATAAAAAAAAAAAGATTTGAGAGAGTATATGTACTTGTATATTGCTTGGGATGAGCCTCAACTATTTGACAAATTAGGGTCTTTGATTCCCCCCCCGGATTTATTGAGAAATTGAAATTTTTTAATGGATTTATTGAGAAATTGAAATTTTTTAATTGACAGCTTAGATTACTTTTTGTGAATGAGATGTGCTAATTTGTAGATTAGAGCTAATGGAATTGTCTTTGTGGTTCATGGTTAGGTGGGTAGTGTCGGCATGATCTTTAATAGTTGCAGAAAGCTTAATCTCTACAATAAAAACCTTATGGTTTTAGAGTTGTTGATTTTTATGTGTACGTGCACATGTTATAGGTATATGGTGTATACAATATAGATGTCTCATGATAGTCATGATAAAAAGGTTGTGAAGAAGATGAATGTTGATCTTACTTCTACTGCAGTTAATTTGTGAAGGCAGTATATTGTTAATTAGTTTAGTTTCAAGGGATGTTATAGTGCTGCAAGTATTTTGTCAAAAGTGCAGTTTATGTTGCAACAGTTCATCTACTGGTTTGTAAAGTTACTTGGTTTTGAGATATATTTGGATATGCACTGACCTTGGTCCTATGTTTTTACAGGTTGTGAGTTGCAAAAATGGTATTCAGACAACTGTTATTGAGTCTTCTTCTGCCTCAAAGTTTGTTCCAAGCATTCGCTCCGGCAGCCACACAGACATTGGATATCGGAAAATCAATGAAGATGAACACATTTGCATCGATGATCTATCTGCACACTTGGGTTATCTGTTCGGGTGCCGTTTGTCAAGTGCCTTCTATGCTGTATTTGATGGACATGGAGGCTCCAATGCGGCAGCAGTTTTTGTCAAAGAGAATGCTATGAAGTTATTCTTTGAAGATGCCAACTTGCCACAAACATCTGAAATTGATGATTTGTTCTTGGAACAGTTGGAGAGTTGTCATCGCAAAGCATTTCTACTGGCTGACCAAGCATTGGCTGGAGAATGTAGTAGTGTTCCTGTTTATTGTGGAACAACAGCAATAACTGCCCTAATACTTGGCAGACATCTAATGGTAGCCAATGCTGGTGACTGTCGTGCTGTTCTTTGCAGGAAAGGAGTTGCGGTGCAGATGTCCCATGATCACAGACCTAGTTATCCGCCAGAACGCAAGAGGGTGGAGGAGTTGGGTGGTTACATTAAGTATGACTGCCTTAATGGTGATCTGGCAGTGACCCGTGCCCTTGGAGACTGGTACATGAAACGTCCTTTAGGGTCTGCGTCACCTCTAACTGCTGAGCCAGAAGTTCAGCAAAGGATGTTAACAGAGGATGATGAATTCTTGATTGTTGCTTGTGATGGGATCTGGGACGTTATGTCAAACGATGAAGCAGTCAACTTGGTTCGCCTTGCACTAGAGTGCCATGATGATCCGAAGCGGTGTGCCAAAAAACTTGTGAATGAAGCACTACGACGCAGTAAAGATGACAATCTCACTGCTATCGTGGTGTGCTTCACTCCTCCCATTTGCCAACCTCAACGACCAAGGTTGAGGTGCTGCAGCCTGTCAGAGGAGGGCATGAATCGGTTGAGGACCTTCCTTGAAGGCAACTGAATTGAATGTAAACAAAAACCATTTTCTGGCACAAAAACTGCATAATGAAGAGTGTAATTCTGATTTTTCGCTGATATTTCTTCTTGTAGAAGAGATTGTTAATCTGTTTTGAGGTTGCTTCAGATGTGTTTTAGAAAAAGCAGCCAGCAATTTTTCAGGGGTAGAGCAAGTATCTTACTTATGGTAGTTTGTGTAACTACATGGGACAAATCTTATGTCAATTCTAAAATTTGATGGGGTCCATTGTGGTGAATAATTTGGTTCACTTGTTTATATAATTTGAGCTGTGAATTTGATTCTGAAACCCTGTTCACATATGATTTTGTTTTCCAGTATGCGTCGTGTGTTTGGTGGTTGTATGGATTTGCCATGATGATGATGTTGAACTGTGAAATAGTAATAGCCAAGTTTCTTGCTAGTTCCTGAGACGATAATATTCAAAAATTGCAAGACTCTCTCAATCCTCAATTCCTAACGCTTAACTTGAAGGTCGCATTCAAGCCTCATCTCATCTGAGTGGAGGTTTGGTCTTAAGGCCCTCCCACCACTAAACATTAGGGAGGGATGATGGTATGGTGTGTGAGGACAACACATTTTTTCTGATATATAGACAATAGAATCTATTGCTAAATGTCAAAAGTGATTGGTGTTATCATATATCATATATACATATATGTATGTGAATGAGTAATGCTATACAAATTAATTAATTTTATTATATACATGGATAAGTCCTGCTAGATACATTAATTTATAAATATTATAATCGATTTATTTATAAATGTGATACTTTTATTATATTATTGTTATGCTGTCATTTTAGGAAAAATTCTATGTGTACAATTACGCAAATTTATATTCAATTTACATATTTTTGTGAAATCAATTATGTGACTTTGTAAAAACTTACATAATTTTTTGGTAGGATTGTTTGTAAGAACTTATATAATTTTATAGTAGGATTTTATATAATGTGTGTTGCACACCGAAGCATTTCTCTCATTTTGGATATCAAAATTTTTTTAGTACATAATATAGTAATAGATTCCGTTTCAAATATTAAAATTTCATTATGGCATGTTACATCAATGAATAAGAAAATTTTATAAAATTAATTAATTTTTATATTCTATATGAAATCCTAATTTTGCTAGAATATAAGAATCATACATATATATGATAGTTAATAATTTTATTTTTGGTGTAGCTCTCTAATGACTTTTATTTTCATCAAATTGTCATTTTTTTTTTCTTTTCTTTTCTTTTTTTTGTTAATCGGTAATTTTTTTTTTGTGTGCAAATATTAAGATAATTATATTAAACAAGACAATCAACTATTAAGGAGCTCAACAACACAAACTAAAATTAAACACAAACACTTGCTATATAATACGAGAAATAGTTTTTTAACAGAGATCAATATATTTATATTTATTGAAAAATGATCCCCTATATGTTGCTTGGGAATATACATAAGTGACGAACAAAATAAGACAAATTAACTATAATCCAATTGAAGGAACAGTTATAAATGGATTGCACATTAGGCTATTCAATTTCAGTTTGATCGATAGTCTCATGGTCAATGTAGCCAAACAGTGGTTAGTGGAGGAGGTATCCTTTTTTACAGGCGTAACTTAGGTTCGAATCCTGTGGGAATGAAAGGCTGGGTAATTTCAATGGTTTTTTATGGAGATCTTATTCTGTATTTCGATTGAATTTTGGACTCGTATGTAGCGTATAGTTGAACTTAGTTGGTGTCTCTGTGGTAGGTCTTTTTCTATAAATTGGATTAAGTCTTAGTGATAGGTCCCTTCTTATGAATTGAGTTAAATCAGGCCGACAATTGATTATCTCAAAACCTGAACCCATAGATGTAAGGATGATGCCTCAAAATATTTTTGTCCCGTTAAAAAAAAAATTTGTAGCCAGACCTGTTTTTTAAATCGCCCCACCAGATTTGACAACAAAAATGGTCAAAATAAGCAAAGAATTTAGACCTCCAATGTGATGAAAAGTACATAGGACTTGTACAAAGTTTGTTCACGTATTATGGACGGACCAGATGCCTGGAATAACACGTTATCAACGGCTACCATTATTAAAATAAAAATGTACATTTTTTTTGAATCCCACCACTAGAAACAGAACCAAAATCAACCCACCCAAATCCATCAACCACATCTTACTTTTGGAGACAATTGATAGAATCAACGGCCATGATCGAATTTGTTTTTACAATAGGTAGAGAGAGAAATACGAGTGAAAAAAAAATTAAGAATGCAAAATTTTATAAAAAATATTATTATTGTTATTATTATTTTATAAATTTATAATTAATTTAAAAAATACCTCTTACCAAACTAATTTGTGAAAACCATAGCTCCACTCCACCAGATCATCCCACCTAAATTAAAAGTAATAAATAAATAAATTGGAAATAATAGATAAATTTTGGTCTCCATTCATTCATCCCATGCACCGCGCGTGTATTTGTAGTTGTAGACCAAAAACCTAATACTAAATAAATAGTAAAGGAAAAAGAAACCAAAGGGCTTGAATTGAATTTGAGTCGAAATCGAAAATGGCAATGGCGAGCTTGGCCAGACGAAAGGCTTCGCTGCTTCTCTCGAAGAATTCCTCCGATGCTGCTTTCAGGTACTCCCTCTCTCTAACCTCCTTCTCCAGAGGTTTCGCTTCTTCGTCTGGATCCGACGAAAACGACGTCGTTGTCGTCGGCGGCGGTCCCGGCGGCTACGTTGCCGCCATCAAGGCGGCTCAATTAGGGCTCAAAACTACCTGTATTGAGAAGCGAGGTGCTCTCGGCGGCACATGCCTCAACGTCGGTTGTATTCCTTCCAAGGTATTATATATATATATATACGTATGTATGTGACTTGTGATTTGTGATTTGTTTCGTTTTTTTTTTTTTTTTTGTGATTTGTTTCGTTTTTATTTTTTTTTTTTCTCTCTCTTTCTGAATCAATTTTACATCTGATTGTTAGATCTAATGATTTTTATCTGAAGGTTGATAATGATTCGCCATACGATTTGAATTTGCTGAAATATACTGGAAGTTCGCTTAGTTGATGTGTATGTTTGTATTTATGTACGTATATGATTGGTTGTGACTTCAAATTAGAGTAATTGATTGTCGAGTGACTGTTACAGGGGAATTTTATTCATATGATGTATTTCAAATATCGCAAGTAATTGAAAGTTTCAAAGCATTCTCTCTCTTTTTCTTTTTTTTTTTTTGTCTGTTTTGTTTTCATTTTGTACTCAGTTCTTGAATAATGAATTATTTCTATACTCATTACTAATGAAAAGCCTTTGATTTGACTGCAATTAAGGTGAACAAACATGATTTGAAGAAGTATGTTCATGTTGCATTGGAATGCACCTTCCCTATTTTGTAGTTTAGTTAGGATGACTTTCCTTGAGTGACAACTTTCTATCATCTGGTTGAAAGGTTGGTTGATGATCATTTGGATGTGTTATTTAAATGATTAATTACTGATGCCACCTCATGTCCATGATTTTTCCCTTTTTGTCTGAATGAGGTCTGTTCGGAGAAGTAGCACTGCTGAAGCCAATTTGAATGAAAAGGTGGTGGAGATCTTTTGTCGGCTTCTTGATCGAAATTTAAATTTGTACTCTGGTGAACTTTTATGTCTGAAATAGCTAGAAAACTGGGATCTTAGTACATCCTAATGGATGTTTTATCTAACTTGACACTTCATGCAAGAACCAACTTGTGCATTTATGTCTTATCTGTTAAATTTGAGCTGCCATAAAATTGGGGGAGCAAGGCATTTTGATGCGACTACAATGCATATACTCGGTAACTGGATTCTGCTTATTGTGCAATTAGGTGCTCTTACTAGTTTCTTTGCTAACTTACAGTAAGCAAGGTCTCTCTTTTCAGTCGGCTACACACACTGCACCGCATAGAGTTATGTGGATTTCAAGTAGTCTTGTCATCGGATATGTAGTGAATGTTATCTATTTTGCCCACCCGTCATAGAATTGATGAAGTGTTGGATGTTGTTGAAAGTACAAGTGGCGTGAAGTCAGCATCATTTGATAGAAAATTTAGAAATTTGTTTTATTTGTAGTCAATTCACGGTGGAAATGCAGCTTGTGATCTAATAGGCTGACTCAAGTTGAGCTTGAAGTTTGCCTTTTGTTTAATTACTCGTGGCTCTATGAGTCAATTTGGTTGACCGTATGGGGACTATTAGGATACTTGTGTTGTCATTTGCTTGGCCTATACCTGTTGAAATGTAAGTAGCATGGACACTTCTAGAAACTAGCCGTGTTGGTGTTGGACATGTATTGGATTCGACACTTCTCGGACACTCCTAGAAAAGTGTCCTCACTTCTTGAAATTGCCTTAATTCAAAAATCAAATTTCATAATTTTGGATAGTTCGATTTGATGACATTTCTTGGATACTTCCAATCCAAGTTACATACAACATGGTCCACATGGTAAATCTGTCAATAGTAATAATGTTTTGCATTCTTGGGAATGCTTCTCACATTCCAAATATGTCTTGTCATTTCTAAAAGAATACATCATAGGCATGATTGATATAAAGTAAATTATGTATAGACAACTTCTGATTTAAGAAAAGAATATTTTCTTAAAAAATATAAGTAATAAGAATAGGCATCATGTACATGATATTTGTGGAGCTCCATGTAATTTTAGATTCTTCTAATTTTATCTGTAGGCTCTTCTTCATTCCTCCCACATGTACCATGAAGCCTTGCACTCATTTGCCAACCACGGTGTGAAGTTTCCTTCTGTTGAGGTTGATCTACCTGCCATGATGGGCCAAAAAGATAAAGCTGTAGCTAATCTGACTCGTGGTATTGAAGGCCTCTTCAAGAAAAACAAAGTAAATTATGTTAAAGGCTATGGCAAATTCATCTCCCCTTCTGAAGTTACTGTTGATGGCCCGGAAGGTGGGAACACTGTCGTGAAAGGCAAGAATATAATAATTGCCACTGGCTCTGATGTAAAGTTCCTACCTGGGATCACCATTGATGAGAAGAGGATTGTGTCATCAACAGGAGCTTTAGCTTTGACCGAAATCCCAAAGAAACTCGTGGTCATTGGAGCTGGCTACATTGGCCTTGAGATGGGCTCTGTGTGGTGCCGCCTTGGTTCGGAGGTCACTGTTGTTGAATTTGCACCAGAAATTGTTCCAACCATGGATGGTGAAGTTCGGAAGCAATTTCAACGTGCACTTGAGAAGCAAAAGATGAAATTCATGCTGAAAACTAAGGTGGTATCAGTTGATACTTCTGGGGATGTCGTGAAGTTGACCCTTGAACCAGCAGCTGGTGGTGAGCAGAGCACACTTGAAGCTGATGTTGTTCTCGTTTCTGCTGGTAGAATTCCATTTACGGCTGGACTTGGGTTGGACAAGATAGGTGTGGAAACAGACAAGGTTGGTCGAATCACAGTTAACGAACGATTTGCAACAAATGTACCGGGAGTCTTTGCAATTGGAGATGTTATTCCTGGGCCCATGTTAGCCCACAAGGCAGAAGAGGATGGTGTTGCATGTGTGGAGTTCATAGCAGGCAAGGAAGGTCATGTGGACTATGATATGGTCCCCGGAGTTGTTTACACACACCCGGAGGTGGCATCTGTTGGAAAGACCGAGGAGCAAGTGAAGACACTTGGAGTTGATTACCGTGTTGGGAAGTTTCCTTTCATGGCAAACAGCAGGGCCAAGGCAATTGATGATGCTGAAGGAATTGTCAAGATAGTAGCTGAGAAAGAGACCGACAAGATATTGGGTGTCCATATCATGGCACCAAATGCCGGGGAGCTCATCCACGAAGCAGTGCTGGCATTGCAGTATGGAGCGTCGAGCGAGGACATTGCACGCACATGCCATGCACACCCGACTATGAGCGAGGCATTGAAAGAGGCTGCCATGGCCACTTATGACAAGCCCATTCACATTTAGAAGATGTTGGTGGTATATCTTTGTTGTTCTCTCTTGTTCTATTATTTCTTTTGAGAGTTTTGGAATGACTTTGTGCGAAGGCTTTCTGATTTACGCCTGCTACTTATTGAGTAGATTGAACATATATTTGCTTTGATTTTCTTTTCATTTCTCATGTTATCCCTCACTTCAGAATTCATATGCAATAACACAGTACTCCTTTGGATACTAGCCTGTGTTTAATATGCGTAATAACAATTTGAGGGGAACCTTGAGTTTAATGTGCCATTGCAGCTCTCTCTCTCTCTCTCTCTCTAGTATTTTGTAATAGTGTAACAGTTCTGGCACTGTGTTTTTTTTGTAGAATAAAGCTATACACACCAATTGATATACCAATTAGTATACTAACAACTGATGTGGCATAATTTTAAATTCTTTGAGCCTTTATAATTTGTATAATGGGTGGAGTCTATAATTTTGAATTGGCAATGACACAACATATGTTACTTGCGCATTTCCTTTACGAGGGGGGAAATATGCTGGACTACTACCCCATATATGACATGTTATTACTTCCTTGTGTTAATGAATGATACATGCTTATTTGCAGCCTCAAAGCCTAAATTGCAGATTTACACTATCTGTAATACTTCATCTAACATCATTTTGGAGGATAAACTTTTGGCCGTAAAAATTACAATGGTGGAAATTTTTTACTTTTAATAAATTATTGTTGTGTTTTAATATGGTAAACAATAAAAATGGGCAATAAAGTATAATGACCTCATTATCAAAAACAAAAATAATAATAATAATAATAAATAAAGTATAATGACCTTAAATATTGGATGTTTAAGTTTGTTCGAATTGGACAGTAAGCTTTTTGGGAGTTCAAGTGGACTAATAAACAGAACTAAGGTCTTATCATAAGTATGCTTTGTCTCTTCAGACTTGATCGGTATATGGACTTGCATCTTGTTACATAACTTGACTAGTGTTAAAACATTACCAACTCCATTCATCAAATTTAATCGGAGAGCAAAAACATAAGCTGCAATCATTTCTTTAAACCTCTATCAAATTGATGAACAAATTTTCTTCAAATGAACCAAACCTGCATGCCATCGATATATATTGATAGTAACGCTGAGAATTCATGTATGCAAATATGATCAGCAATAATAATAAAATCTGGTTTGAGCTTCAAGAGTGTGACCCGCGGCGTGCTTTTCCCCTTGTATTGGAATCAATCTCACCACCGCAAATCCTATTCAGAAAGCAGAAAGGTTTGATACTAAAAGAAAATCTCTTTCACAATTCAAAGTTCTACTTGAAACTATAATTCTTGCAGCATAAAAAAGTTTAATATTGCAACTCAACAGATAATCAATGAAAGTCACATATACCGAGGACTGCAAAGATGGGAAAGAATATGATCCAAAAAGAAACATATCATCATTTTATGTGATGCTAGTTTCTCCTGGTTTTAGGATCTGAAGTCATCACAAAAAATATTTGAATAACAGGCAACTAGTGTACAGTCCAATAATGCATTCATTCTTCTTTGGTCTTCAAGGTGATGACAAACTTCAGAAGAGACTCCAAGATAATTAAGAAGCGCTTCACGGCTGGTGCAACCATCCCAGATATCATTATGAGCATGGTACAGAAGGCACTCACTCTCCTTAAAATACCAACAAACTCCTAATTCCCTTCTCTCAATTCCCATGCGCCGAAATGATCAAAATATGTGGTCAAAGTACAATCCAAGGGTGTACCGCAAAGTCAAGCATCCTCTCGCATATCTGTCTTCCTCTTGGACTGCATGGCGAGGCGTGCATCTCTCTCCCGCTCAAATTCCCGATAATCCGTTCGCTGCAAGAAAGACACTTTATCTAAGTACTGATTTGAGCTCTTCTTGTAAGCATCCAACTCATTTTCCAGGCCCTTGTTTTCTTCCTTGTATTCTCCCCAATCCTTTTTTGTTTTGTCAAGCACATTGAGCTTTTGCTTTTTCCTAATTTGTTCAAGAATGGTATCAACAGCAGAAGGGGGTCCTACAGTGGCTTTGGCTTTTTCAGATGCCTCCTTCGAATCGGCATCAACAAACTTCTTTACTTCAATATCTTGACCTGCAAAGTCCCGAACCTCTGTGATCTGTAAGATTAAAAGAATTCACTTTGAATTATTATTATATGGTTCACAGATGCACAGTCAGGTTTACTATGGTTATTACCAGATGAATATCATCAATCTCCCTCCTTCAGTAAATGGATTTGTAGGACCTTCAATTGTCTAATATGGACATTAATTAAAGGGTAAATTACACTAACTTCTCAAGGTTTTGCAAAAATACAATGACCATCACAAGTTTGTCATAATTACACTACGCTCCCTTAAGGTTGTAATGCATATAACATTGCCCATCAATTATTCGATAGTCATATGAATAGAAAAATGATATTTTTTTTTTTCCTGTCTTTTACACTAAAATATATATTTTACCCTTTGATCATGCTTGCTCTACACACTATCTGCATTAGTTCCGATCGTTTTAGTCTTACTAAAAGGGAGGTCAGCGTAATTGTGTTAAATTTATGAAACATATTATATGTTTTCTAACCTTCAGGGATGATCGGCGCAATTTACCCTTAATTAAATTGTGATGTTCCTCATACAAGATCAAACTAAATACCAGTATCCACCACTACAAAATGGTCCAATTAGCAGGGCCCTAATAAATCAATGTCAATTTAGGACACATTGTGCACAGGTAACAAGGCCAGTTAACATGAAAGACACCGGTAGCAATAATAGTTACATGTGAAACAATGTGATTACCTCAACTTTCCCCTTGCCTGAAGCAGCAGCCGAAGCAGCAGCATCCTTAACTGCTGACAGGGCTGCAGCAGCAAGCCTCCTGGCCTCATCACTGGTGCCATTCTGTATAGGACTAGGATGCTTCCCTCGCTTCTCTTGCACAGGGGATGCTGTCTTCTTTGGTGCCAAGCCCAGATATGTCATCCAACTCTGAAATTAAAAAATAGACCAAAATATATAAAAAAAAATCGTTAGAATTAAACCTAGTTGACTATAGAGTGTAAACAGTTTCTTCGAAAAAAGAAGAATCAGGGAATCCTCACAGTGCTCTCACTACTCTCTTCCGAGAAGTAATCTTCTGTGTAGTTGTATTTACAGTCGAACTAGGCTTGTTTGAGATAGATTTGAGTGTCTTTGTAGATATGCCTTTATTCATTTGCTCCCATACAGCATTAACCCGAGCTTTCCTCTCTGGCATAACGAAACGAACATATTACCACTTCATGTCAACGCTTAAAACCTTTATTTTCAGCATTAAGAAGGGGAAAAAAAAAATCCACTTCAGCAGAAAGGAACAAGCAATCAGGACTGAAGAAATGTGTAACATTCATACCAGTTTCTTCAGGTTGTGCCTGTAAGCTCGAAACAGGAGCACCTTCATCGGCAGGCTCCATTGAGATCCCATCTGTTCTTTCTCCATTACCTAAGAATTACAACCAGTCATCCACGAGAAAACAGAAATGAACAAACAATGCACAAATTGTAGTTTGTGAAAGAAAGCCATAGCAAAATTATTTAGTTGTCCACAAAATCATTATTAAATTTTTAAAGAAGTTTGAATATCATACAATTGAAACCAAAAATTGGACCACAGTTGCAACCCAGTCGAGTGTGGCAGGATCTACTGACATAAAAGGTGGCAAACAGTATAAAAAAAAAAAATAAAAAAAAAAAACTATCATTTAATTGTTAAATTACTGAAGTAAGGAAGGAGAGAAGAGGGTGTACAAACATGCTAAGATGAGAGAGAGGAGAACAAGAGATTTTAATCAGGTTAAGTGCATCAAGAGTGAGGACTCTAAGGTGTTGGTGAAGGATGAAGAGATTAAGGAGAGGTGGAAGAACTATTTTGAAAAGTTGTTAAATGAGGAACATGGAGATAGATCAAAAGGGGAGAAGTAGGCAGTAATAAGGAAAATCATGACTATAAGTTCTATCGTAGTATTAGGAACTTTGAAGTGGAGATTATACTTAAGAAGATGAAATCGAATAAGGCTTTAGGATCCGATGATATCCCTATTGAAACTTGGTAATATTTGGATAAGAAGGGGATTGCTTGGTTGACTAGGTTATTTGGTAAGATTTTGTTGACTAGGAAAATGCCAGAGGAGTGAAAGAAGAATACTTTAGTGCCAATCTATAAGAATAAGGGAGATGTCCAAAATTTCAACTATAGAAGAATCAAGTTAATTTGTCATATAATGAAGTGTAGGAGAGAGTGATGGAACGTCGATTGCGAAATATAAAAGAGGTTTCAGAGAATCAATTTGGGTTTATGCCTGGTAGGTCAACAATAGAAGCGATCTATCTTTTGAGGAGAGTAATAAAAAGATATTGAGAAAAAAGAGAGACATTCATATGATTTTTATCAATCTTGAGAAAGTATATGATAGAGTGGCTCGGAATATAATCTAGTTAGTATTAGAGAAGAAAGGGTTGACAAAAGATTACATTAATGTGATTAGGGATATATATGAAGGTGAGGTGACCACTATTAGATCGCCTGTTGAAGAGACAAATGAATTTTCAATTACTGTAGAGTTACACCAATGATCAATCTTAAGTCCTTATCTTTTTGCTTTAGTTATGGATGAGTTGACGAAAAACATTTAGGATGATGTGCCATGGTGTATACTTTTTGCAAATGATATAATGTTAGTGGATGAGACTAGAGAAGGAGTTAACAATAAGTTGGGGACTTTGAGAGAAGCACTTAAATTTAAAAGATTAGGATAAACAGAACTAAGGCAGAATACATAGAGTGTAATTTTAGTAACCGTAACAATGCAAGCAGAGGAAAAGTGAAAATTGAGTACCAAGTAGGGCTGTGCATAATACCGCCAAACCCGCCAAAACCGCACCGAATCGCTCTGAACCGCACAATTTTTCAACTCTGTTGGGCGGTTTGGGGTCCCAGGAGTGGCGGGTAGGCGCGGGTGGCGGTTGGAAATTTCCAACCCGCAGTATAAACCTAACCGACCCGCCTTTTGTGTCTAAAAAAAAAATCCTCTGTTATATACACATACAACAAGTGAATTCCAACCATGGATTACACCTATCACATATATACTCACACATACAATAATTCCTCTATTAAGACACCCACATTTCATCTCATTCATCATCAATTCCTCGCTGCTAGGGCTGTACACAACATCTCATCTCATTCCTCTTCTTTACCTTGCCGATCTGTGCTATTAGCCTCTCCTCGCCACCGCCGCTGCTTTCTCCTTCCCTTGCCGATTGACGCTGCCTCCTCGTCGTCGTCGGTATGTGCCTTTTTCTCTCTCTTCGCTCTCTCTCTCTCTCTTTCTCTTTGCTTTCACATTCTTCTCATCTTCTTCTGCTTTCCTCTTCTTCTCTTTTCTTCTCTTCTTCTGAGTCTAATCTATTTTTTTTTAAAGTAGAGAGATTGTTTGATTGATTTTTTCAACATAATTCAACTTGTGTACTTTTTCAAAAAAAAAAAAAAAAAAAAAAATTTTGCCCGGCTGACCCCTGTGACCTGTCTGTGCTCTCTCTTATATTTATAATTTTTATTTATATATATTTATCATCATTGATAATTTTTATTTATGTGTGAAGTCATATTGATAATTTTTATTTATTTACTTATCATCATTGTAAATTTTATATTAGATGAATATTTTAATTTTGACTATTTTAGTTAATTTATAAATTAGATCTTTTAACTCTTTCATTCAAGTTCTGTAATTTGAATTATATTTTTTTATAAACCGCCAATCCGCCCGAACCGCCAAGGCAAATCCGCTATTATTTGCCAACCGAACCGCCAGTTTTCGATAAGAAAAATGACAAATTCTAATGACACTTTTATCAATCCGCCACCCGTCGTATAGTTTCTATTTTTCTCCTAAATCGCACCGACCCGCACTGCGCACACCCTTAGTACCAAGAATTACTTAGGAGTGAACATTTTCATTATTTATGATCGATTATCACAATGGCTAGGGAGATTGGAACAAATGTGATCCATAGAATTAAGGCAGGGTGACTTAAGTGGCAGAGTGCGTCTAGGGTACTGTGCGATAAACGAATATCCACTAGATTAAAAGGGAAGTTCTATAGAACAGCTATTAGACCAGCGATACTGTATGGGTCAGAATATTAGGCAACTAAGAAACAACATATAGATAAGATGAGTGTTACTTAAATGAGGATGGTAAGGTGGCTGTGTGGCAAAACTAGAAAAGATAGAATTAGAAATAAGTATATTCAAGAATGGGTAAGAGTAGTACCGATAGAAAATAAGTTGAGAGAGAATAGATTGAGATGGTTTGATCATATACAATGAAGACCAACAAAGACAGCAGTGAAGAGATGTGACACAGTGACGGTAGATGGAAGTGTTAGGGGAAGGGGTAGACCTAGATTGACGTAAACTGGTATAGTAAATAGATATATGAATATCCTAAATTTGACTGACGAAATGGCCTTAGATAGAGTCTAGTGGAGAAGAAGGATTCATGTAGCCGGCTCCATTTGATAAGACTTAAGGCTTAGTTTGGTTTGAAAAGAGACACCAATGAGCTGATTGGATGACAGTATTTTCTTTCTAAAAGATCATTTATAAAGAAAAATTATAGTTTGCACAATTTTTAATAATAAATTAAACAATTGGTTAAGGCTCCGTTTGATTGTCCGGATTGGATATAAGGATTTGAGGAGGATATGTAATACTTGAGGATAAAGATGGGATATAATATATTATAGAATATGAGATGGATTGTATATACCATGAGGTCAATTATATTATGTTTGGTTAAGATAGGATATAGTTACTTTTGACCTTTGGATGAAAAATTCCTTATATCTGACGGTGGGAGATATACAATACCATGGGGGGATTGGTATTGCATATCCTCCCTTTTTCATCATACACTATCCGAACTCCCTATATTCGGAGCAACCAAACACGGGATGTAGGGAGACAAGAAAACATGCGTGACTCACCCCATATTATATCCGGTCCCACTCTCATATCCGCCCCTTATATATGATAAACAAACAAGGCCTAAAGTGCTATGCTACAAAAACTAAACACCTGAAGGATGAAAAGAAGAGCCCACGAGTCAACTGCCAATCCAATTTCTCCTTCAAAAATTAAGATTACCTAACTTAAAAGAGCTCAACTCCAAGAATTTTTTAGAACTTATGGAAATCCTATATTAGTTTCTTGTCCAGTAAAACAAAGGTTCAAGGTATACAAGTTCCTTTGGAAGATAAGTCAAATACCAAAATAAAATCTTGAAAAGTGACCCAAGAACTTGCAGGTAATCGAACTAGGTGAATCGAGTTTTTTTTTGTTGTTGTTTTGTGTGTGTGTGTGTGGATAAACCCGAATTTAATGGAAAAGCATCAACAGGATGCCACCTATGTACATAACAATGAATACATGGAAAAACGCTCAAAAAGAACCTATACACTTTTTACACCTCAAAAGATTCAACTAAAACCAAAAAATTACAAGTTAGGAATCACTTGTCCTGAAGTCCAACTACACAAAATGGTCAACAAATAAACTCTTCAACCTAAAAAAAAGTTGCTCTACGCCATGAAATGCACTCCTATTGCTTTCTCCTCAAATAATCCACATTAAGCATAACAGAATCAAAATCTAAGACTGTGTTTGGTTGTATTTTCTAAATATATTTCTACCCCTTTATTTGCGTTTGACGTTTGTTTACGGTTTTCAAAAGTTAATTCCACATTCAATTTTGAAAACTCTGTCTAAAGAGGAAAAATTTGGACTAACTGATCGTCCCACCGGTCATCCGGCTGGTTGACTGGAACAGTAACTTCATTTATTTCTTTATTTATTTATTTTTTGCATTTGACACATTAATTTTTATATATTCAATAAAAAATATTTTTTGAATTTTTAAAAAAATTTGAGTTTTGAATAAAATTTTGAGTTGTGTGTTTGGTTATAAGTTGGAAGTTTTTGTATCAAATATCATATGTCACATCAAAAATTCTCCACTCAATTCAAAACTCATTCACCAAACAAATTTTCCACTCAAATTATAATTCCAAAATTCACAAACTCAAAATACAACTCCTATTCTCAAATCATATTTAGAAAACTCTACCAAACACTATCTAAGTTTTCCTTCAAAGTTTCCCCAACACTGCCCCAGTATTTTAAACAGCTCTAGGCGCATCGAGGCGCCAAGGTCACTTGGAGTCTAAGCGTCGAGGCACGAGGTGAGGCGCGTAACGCAAGTTATAGAAGTTAAGCAAAATATTAATATAGCACAATTTTCAACAAAAGTAAATATTTAATATGTATATTATTAATTTTTTTAATAAGAAGAGGAGAAGAGAAGAGAAAAAGAAAAAAAATAATTAATTTTTTTAATATATATATATTATTTTATTTATTATATTTTTTAAATAATGTGTTTCAATTAATTTTTTATTTTATTTTATATACATGTGTATTTTTGTTATTGCTATGTATAAGTATATATTATATTTTACATATTATCTATAAGTATACTATATATTATATAATATACATATTATATTTTACATATTATCTATAAGTATATTATATATTATATAATAGGTATCATATAATATTATATATATATATATATGAATCAGGAAGATAAAGAGAGACACAGAAAAGAGAGAGAGAGATCGCGATCGTGAGAGAGAAGGCAAGAGGAAGAGCAATCATGAGCGAGATACAAGCGAGAGAGAAGATGACGAAAGAAGAGCAGAGAAGACGAAGCAGAAGAGAAAAAGCAGAGAGAGAAAAGAAGAAGAGGAGAAGAGAGCAGAACCTGCATTGCGTGGCGTGGCATGGCGTGTACTCGTCGCGTCTTTTTCTTCTTCTCCACTAGGGTTTTTTTATAATGTTTTTGCTCTTTTGACCCACGTTTTTATCATTTTATACTGTAAATGTGATTTCATCCCATGTGGGTATCCACACAAAAAGCCGAGGCGCACAAGGCGCTCGCCTTGCGCTTCGTAAGAAGGCGCTCGCCTCATCGCCTAGGCAGCGCTTCCCCTATGTCGCCTCGCCTCGCCTCACCTCACCATGCATGAGGCGCAAAGCTGCGCCTTGCCTCTGCACTGCCTCTCACTAACAATGCAAGGTAGCTGACACACTTCTAGAGAACATCTAAGACATCCCAAACTTTACCAAAATCAACTTCGACAACTGCCTCACCACTAACTACTCCACAATGAATCATAAGACTTGGATTCCCCGTCTTGCTTGCATAAGCGACACCAATTGACTATGACATGTCACCACTCAATCAAGTAAGTAACAAATAGTGAGAATCTTCTTGTGTTTCACCTTCAGTGGTGCCCCAATAGCCCAAATCCCTTTCCATGGAAACACAACCCGCTATACCCTCTCAAAGCCCCATAGAAAGATTTCATCTTAAATTAACCTTCATAGACCAAGCCTACGGTAAAGAACTTTTTCGTTCTCCAACGCCTCTCACCACATAAAACATCTGACGAAGCATCAATAGCTAATACATTTCCCCATTTCGCACATTCCTCCTAAGAGAAACATCCCAAAAAAAATTTGGCGTCCTACCCTCTTAATGTCATCTGGTACTCTATCACAAGGCTAAAATGAGTAATAATATATACATCAACTAATATACTAACTAGTGTATCAATTGAGGTGTGGCATAATTTTAAGATGTTTTTGGTATTTGTAATTTGTATAATGAGTGGGGCCATAACTAGTGTTAGTACACTAGTTAGTATACTAATTGATGCATGTAGTATCACTCGGCTAAAATAGAAGAGAAATACCCCTTTAACAAATTTTGTCTCTACACCACTACTGCCACCCAAACTTCACCCTATTATCACCTCTCCCCACCTTCAAACTAGGCAGTTACAGAGAAAAGATCCCAAAACCTTTGCTGCCGCCGACGCCACCACTCTGGTTCAATATGTGTCCCTTTTATCTACAAATCTCCAGCATTGAAGATATATTTAGCCAAAAAAAAAAAAATTTGAATCCAAGATTTATGAGCTGAAATTGCTCACAAAGAAAGTATAACAGAAGCTAGAATGTTTACAGCAAGTCTGGTTTTCTTGTGGGAAGACAACTGTATCGATCTTAAAGGCCATGCAACTTCAGATATATTAGTAGATAGCAATTTTGAACAAGTAGTAGGCTTATAAGTAATGGACAAACATTTTAACTTTTTCCACGGTATAACACACTGCCCCTTATGCTCTAAGAACCAATAAAATTTGTCCTTTTTTCTTTATTATTAGGGTTTTGAAACTAAACAAGCAGAGAGAGAGAGAGAGAGAGAGAGAGATGGGTCCTGGAAAATGCTTAGAAAAAAAAAAAAGCTAAAATGCATGGTAATTGTAATCTCTTCGAGTGAGCTAAAGAACCCTAATTTCGTACATTAATATCGCAACATATTACATCATAAACTCACAATCAATGGATGAATCACCAAACCAAACCCGAAGCGGATCGATAACAGCAAAACTGACACATTAAAAAAAAAAAAAAAAGTGGAATCGTAGAATCGATCTATATGATGATTGACATATGTACATCATGTATGTATGTATGTATAGATAGTATTTACCTGATGAATTGAATCTGTTGCTCGAAGAAGCCATTGAAGACAACATTCATCAACTAGTACAAAGCAACGAAGAAGCGTCGTCTATATATATATATATTATATATTGATATTGGGAGGGTTCGATTCGATCGAAGACTTCTCGGTGACAAAAAGCTGGGGGAATTCTTCGACCTCTGAACTCGTTTTTGTTGGACAAAAATACTCTCACTCACTTGGGTCGGGTCTTTTAAACCGGATGGGCATAAATGGGTTGCCCACTATTATTTAAAAGAAAAATTACACCTCCGTGAGAAATTTAAAAAATATTTACAGATTAGGAAAAAAGTTTATAAATTTAATTATTAATGTTTATAAGCTTTATCATTAATTTGAAAATATTTTTGGAAAGATTGGATGTGTTGTAATTCTTCCTTATTTAATTCTTCATTGAAATTTACTTAAAATACGAATTGTTTTCTTTAATTTTGAAAATTATATATCGTACTTTTAAATTCTAATCGCATAACAAAGACTAATTTTATTAATAAATCATTAAGTCAATTAATATCTTTTAATGGTGTCAAACATATATTTCGATTAACAATTCTGATAATTTTATTGTTATATAGAAGAGTAATTAGAAATTTTATTTTTTCTGTTAATTTTGATAAATATAAAATTCAAACAAAGGGGTATTTATAATTTGTAGAACCACAATAAATAATTCGTATTTTAAATAAATCTTAAATTAGGAATAAATTTATTTATAATTTATCCTTAAATTAATTATCTCATCAAAAGAAATTCTATTTACAAAAAAATTATGGGAGTTGGTAGAGTAGAGAAGAGGGTATGTACATGTAGAGTTCTCAGTAAGCATGACCATTTATTACGAATATTATTCAGTGTATTTGGTTTCAGTTTTTTGAAAACTGAATTTCTTACTTTTGATATTTTTTTATTTTCAGTAAATAATTTTTTCAATTTTAACCAATTTTTTTATTTTTTTAGATGCACCTTACTTGGATGTATCTAAATAGTAAAATATTTGTGAAAAAATATTTTAAAAAATTAACAAATACACAAAAATACGAAAAATGTACTAAATTTATATTTTTTTTTTGTATTTTTTGATATTTAGTATATTTTTTAAAGATTTTCTACATAAATATTATACTTTTTAAATATATTTATGTTAAGTGTGTCTAACAATTAAAAAAAAAAATTACTTAAAATATTTAAAAAATTCATTAAAAATATTAAAATACGGAAAAAAAAAAAAGTATAATTTTCTAAAAATTATTTTTAGAAAACCACGACCAAATGTTATTTTAACATTATTGGTGTGTACTTGCTTTCTTTGGACGATTTAAATATTTCTTACAAAACTAGTTCAAACATTTGTCATAAGGCCTATATTCATTTTACTTTTAGATTTTACTAGTTTTTTCATACCAAACTTAGGAGCCCATTAAAGCATCTCCAATAGTGGATCAATTTTTTTTATTAAATTTGAGTAAAAGTTTTACTTCATATCAAGTGCTTAAATGGAGAATTTTAGGTTGTATTTAGATAGATTTTCAAACTATGATTCCACCCCTACATTCCAATGCCATATTTGGATACATCTTTCAAATTATATTTCCACAACAAAAAGAAAATTCTGTAAAAAATTATGTGTCAGGTGTGATTTTCTTATTTTTTTACACAAACATTTGGCACATTTTTTGAGCACTATTAATGAAATGCACAGTGTAAGTTTTTTTTCTTTTTTTTTTTTTTTTTTTTTTTGCAATTGCAACTTGTTTTTTTTTTATATATATATTTTTAATAAAACAATATTTTTAGAATTTTTTAAAATTTTTCATGAGCTTTTAATAGATTTTTGAGTAGTGTGTTTGGTTATGAGTTGTAAGTTTTTGTATCAGATATCAAGTCACATAAAAAATTCCCCACTCAATTCAAAAAAAAATTCAAACTCATTACCAAACAAATTTTCTATACTCAAATTATAATTCCAAAACACACAAACTCAAAATACAACTCTATTCTCAAATCATATTTCCAAAACTCTTCCAAACACTACCTTAGATTTTCATCAGAACACCGGTTAACCGGGCGGGCTGTCCGGCCGGTCGACCGACTAGCGTAAATTTTTACAAATTTTTGCCTTGAGGTGATCATCCAGGAGAACATCCGGGGGATATCCAGCAACGACTATAAACAGTGATTTAATAAAAGGCACATTGATCCTCAGTTTGATGAAAGAAAAATGAAATCCTAGATTTGTTACCTATTTGATGAAACTGTTGGAGCAGAAAAATGAAGTTTTTTTCACCAAATTCAAATTTGATAACAAATCTAAGTAACCATTGGAGATGGTCTTATTACAACTTTGTCACCAAATTAAATTAGTACTTTATAGCTTTTTTCATAAATCCTATTTTAATTACTTATGTTCCAATTAGTTCAAAATTTATTATAATATTCCACTTAGTCATGTCCTTGATAAAAAGACGATATTACCCTTATGTTCATATCATAGGCGCCTTTTTTCTTTGAAACACTACCTAAAAACTCTACAACTTTGTTTTTCCCCAAAATCAGAACCTTAACATTGAACTCCTTCTTTTTCCATCAAAACTCTACAATCGGCAAGTACTGTTCATTCCAGTAACATAGATCGCCAAGAACAATTCTTTCCGACAACTGAGATTGCCAATAACTGTTCATTCTGGCAACTGCGATCGTCACTACAATCAATATCCATAATGGTGAACAAAAGTAAGTTGTTTTCTTCGATTTCTTACTATCTTCTGAATTAAATCCATTAGTTCATATTCTTTCATTAAAATCACTAAATCTGAATATTTACATTTTAATGTTTGAGGTTTAATGTTTATTGATTTGACATTTAGCCTTTGAAATTTACAGATTAGAAATTTCTTTTTTATGAATGTTTTGTTTTTCATGTCACATTGGTATAAGTAAATGAAAATATTTACATTCCAATTTTAAATATTTATGAATGCTCTGTTTTTCAGCTTTAGTGTTTAGGGACTCAACATTTAGGATTTGTAATTTATTAATTACAAATTTCTGGTTTTATGAATGTTCTGATTCATGTTTCAAGAATTAATTTTCTCATTGTGAATGTTTGAATTTTGTTTTCCATATTATATTGATTATGTTGAGTCACATTATTAATATTCCATTATTGACATTCATGTTTGAAGTACGAATCTTCTCATTGTGAATGTTTACAGTTTGTTATCCATGTTATATTGATAATGTTGAGTCACATTATCGATATTCTATTATTGACATTTGTGTTTCAAGTATAAATCTTCACATTGTAAATGATTGGAGTCTATTTTCATTGTTACATCGATTATGTTGAGTCATATTGTTGAGATTCCAATAGACTCAAAACACCATTGTTAGTGTTTGGAATTTGTTTTGACATTTCATTGATTATGTTGAGTGAATTGTCACATTGCTGACATTTGTGTTTGAAGTATGAATCTTCTCATTGTGAATGTTTGGAGTTTGTTTTCTATGTTATATTGATTATGTTGAGTCACATTGTCAAGGTTTTGTTTTGATATTCATGTTTGAAGTATAAACCTTCCCATTGTAAATGTTTGGAGTCTAATTTTCATCTTACATTGAAAATGTTCAATCGTATAGTTGATATTCCAATATTTACATTTTTCATTCAAAATAATGTGCTAATTGTTTTTTAGTAGGAATTTTCTCACTGTTAGTATTTGGAGTCTATTTTTCACGTCACATTGATTATGTTGAGTGAATGGTCACATTGTCGAGATTTCATCGTTGACATTCGTATTTGAAATATGAATTTTGTGACGACCCCACCACGTATAATGATTAGCGCTTAATTAATTAAGGAGATTTGAATTTAATTGCCAATTATTCTAATTTAATCTGGGATTTATGAAAATTATGGAGACTGATTCGTATATGATTCTATCGAGGATTTATTTTGAAATTAAAAGCCTAAATGGCTCAAGATAGTACAAATGGTGAATTAAATTATTTTAATTTCGAGTGTCGGACCATATGGGAGTTTAATTAAATATTTGATTCAGATTTATAAAATTGAGATTCAATTAAGTGGGTCCGAATTGGAATTGATTAAGTTGTGAGGATTGGGAATTAAAATTATTATGAATATAATTTATTTATCAGGTGTTTAATTGAATATGTAATTTATTGACGAAGATTTTGAAGTCTAATATGAAATTGAAGGCCATAATGATTTAAGAAACCAAAATTGAGGATGGAAATAAGTTTAATTTAATATTTGGAGCCTTATGGGAGTTTGATTAAAAATCTGATTCAGATTGATAAATTTAATATAATTAATTAGGCTCCAATGGAAATCAAATTAGACTAATTAATTATGTGGGATTTGTGATTAGGTATGATTAATTTAATTATGTGTTAATCAAGATTTATTAAGAATAAGTTTTATTTAATTAAATTAATCTTAATCATAAATTAAATTATAGAATGATTTAGAATTTGAGGATATGTGGGGGCGTGTGTAGAGAAATCTGTGCGTGTGCATGTGAGTGTTGTGTCGGAGTTCAAAGAAATGTGCAAGTATGTGCACGTGTTACAAGAAGTGAGAGTGTGTGTGTATATGTGTTGTGTGCTGAGCGTTTTTTGTCAAAAAGAGAGAGTTTGGCTTATGAAGGGTGCTAAAGAGCTTAGAAAGTGAGAGAGCTCAAAGAGTGTAGAGAGAGAAACCCATATTTGGGTGAAACATTGGAAGAAAGAAGAGTAATTGTAAGAGGAGCTCAAGAAATTCTACAAAATCAAAATTATAGGTAAGAATTCTAAGTTTAATTTAAAAGATTAATCTCCCTACACCTTGAAATTAAAAGAGTTTTGAAGTTATGTTCATGGATTAAGAAAGTTTTAGAATCAATATCATGTAATTAAAAAGAATTAGCAAGAAAATGAAGAAAAATTGAGTTAAGTGTAAGATTATAGAAATAAACGTAGAAATTGATTATTTTGGTTTGATGTTGAATATCTTGCATGAATTTGGGCCTCATTTTTACATGCATGTAATTTGGAAGAATTAAAGAATAAGTATGGAAATAATTGTAGGAATTCTTCAAATTGAACTTTGGTTTGTGAACCTTGATATATATATGAGATGAATATTTGCATGCGTCATGTGTTTTGAAAGGATTTGAGCCATGCAAGTTCATTATACATTTGATTTTGAAGAAAAGATTGGAAACCACGAGTTCATGAAAATATGGATTTTGATTATTAACCCATTCATGTAATGTAATTTAAGAGTTTTATTTTTTTAAGCAAATTTTGGAATATATCAAATTTGTTAGTTTTATTTGAATTACACACATTCAATGTTTGCTAGGAAATTGACAAGAAAATGAAGAATTGGAGCAAAGATAAAGTTTATGAAGTTAAATTAGAAATTAATTACTTTGGGTTTAATTTGGAAAGTTATTGTTAAATTAAACTCCATAAATTACATGCAACAAAGATTTATTGAAGATTGATCATGGCTCGTAATTTTTTTCATGTTTTGATGAAATTTTGCATGAGTGTTGAACATGAAATTGAGTTTTAAAAGCCTAATTTATGTTTTTGAATTTGTGGGTTTGAAATTGGGCTTGATATGAAGAAAATGAATGGAATTTAAATTTGGACAAATATGGAAATAAATTATAATTTATATTTGAGAATCAAAAATTAATTTGATTTTGATTTAAATTTCATACATGCAAATATTTTTGAAAGGACTTTATAGATTCAATTTTAAGTTTCATTAAACAAAGAAAGAATTGAAAGATGATTTATAAACATGAAATCCAAGGTTTAAATTTGAATTAAAATCATGGAATTAACTTTAAATATATGTAATTGGGATTGTTTTTACATATTCGAGTGAGTCATGCATGAATTTAGAGCCTTGGTAATGTGTTTTGAAGTTTGAACAACATTCTGGAAAACCCAGAATTCGGCATCATTGCTCGAGCGAAGAAATTGTCGCTCGAGCGTAGAATGCAAACGACCAGTATTTTTGAAGACCAAGGGAGTCCGCTCGAGCAACCAATGTTGCGCTCGAGCGAAGAGTCCTATTTCAAAAAAAATTGAAAAGCTATTTCATATTTTGATTTTCATTCTCTTTCACTTCCAAGCATTCTAGACATGATTTATGGCCCATTGAAGATTAATAAGCTAACAATCAATATAAATTACTTAACTAAAGAATGAATTATTGATCTAGTAGTTGTAATTGTTTAAGAAGCCAAATAAGAAATCGGTCTATTGAAAAATGACTTAGTAATAAAAGAATATGTGAAATAAGAACCCGGTTCATTTAAATAAGAAAAAATAAGCATAGTAGAACTTCGGACTACTAAGACAGAAAAAGACAAGAAAAGTCAAGTTTGATCGAGGAATTGATATTGTATTTCAATGTGTATATGTTATGTGCTTGTGTTGGTCATGCGCTATTATCTGCCTGATTTATCTGATCTGTCCAATCTGTCTGATCTGCTTCTGCAGCAATTTGTGAGTAATAACTCTATAAAGCTATGTTTAATTATAAGTATTTTCTGACTGATATGATATGATATGTTATCTGAAATGCTATTTTATGAAACATGAATGAATGTACATTTTTTTGAAATGCATTTGTGGCACCCTTAGTTCACGGGGTCCTTGCCCGGGGATAACAATACCATGGCCTATATTCATGTGGCCCTTACCCGGGGTAACAATACCGAGGCCTATATTCACGTGATCCTTGCCTGGAGGTAACAATACCATGGCTGCTCGCGTAAGATATGGACCTTTATGGTCGTTGGTACCGACTATACATGTGGGTCTCAAGACCAAGTTGATATGATAGCTAATGGGTGTACCACGTATGATCTTATGCAAAATCTGAATATGAATATGAATATAAATATGAATATGAACATGAACATGTGTATGAATCTATTTCTGATTTAAAATCTGAACATGCATAAGACTCTGTTTATGATAAGAATCTGTTTCTGATATAAACTCTGATTTCTAACTCTATGATGGATATCATTCATTAAAACCCTTTATTTTGTTATTATTCACTGGCTCCAGCTCACTGTATTATTTATGTATGTAGGTGATCAGGCGCGTAACCAGGCTTAGAGGCGTGTGCCTTTAATCTGTTTTTGTCAGCCAACCTATGTGCCTCCCGTGGAGGTTCCAGATATGTCAAGTGGTTCTAGCTATATGATTAAAATTCCAGTTTTGTTTTCTTGTTTGTTTAAACAAGTCTTTGTTTATTTTGTAAATAGGACTGAGTCCCTTTTTGTCTAATATGTATATATATGATGACGTAAGAATGATGTGTAGATATGTATCTAAAAAGTTTAAAATTTTACTGTCTCATATAAGTCTGCATAGCTCAATGGATGTTGTATATTTGTTATTTGCTTCCGCTAGCCCCTAATATTATGTTATTTTGTCTCAGAGGCTTTCAGTAATCCCAAGATTACTGGCCGGTTACGATATTAAACCCATAGGGGCGGGTTTAGGTCGTGACAAATTTTCTCATTGTGAATGTTTAGAGTTTGTTATCCATGTTATATTGATTATGGTAAGTCACATTATCAATATTCCATTGTTGACATTTGTGTTTCAAGTATGAATCTTCACATTGTAAATGATTGGAGTCTATTTTCATTGCTACATCGATTATGTTGAGCCATATTGTTGAGATTACAATAGACTCAAAATACCATTGTTAGTGTTTGGAATTTGTTTTAACATTTCATTGATTATGTTGAGTAAATTGTCACATTGCTAGCATTTGTGTTTGAAGTATGAATTTTCTCATTGTGAATGTTTGGAGTTTGTTTTCTATGTTACATTGATTATGTTGAGTCACATTGTCAAGGTTTTGTTTTGACATTCGTGTTTGAAGTATAAACCTTCCCATTGTAAATTGTTGGAGTCTAATTTTCATCTTACATTGAAAATATTCAATCATATAGTTCATATTCCAATATTCACATTTTTCATTCAAAATAATGTGCTAATTGTTTTTGAGAAGGAATTTTCTCATTATTAGTATTTGGAGTCTATTTCTCACGTCACATTGATTATGTTAAGTGAATGGTCACATTGTCAAGATTCTATTGTTGGCATTCGTGTTTGAAGTATGAATCTTCTTATTGTGAATATTTAAAGTTTGTTATCTATGTTACATTGATTATATTGAGTCACATTATCAATATTTCATCGTTGACATTCGTATTTCAAGTATGAATCTTCATATCGTAAATGATTGGAGTCAATTTTCATTTTTACATCGATTTTGTTGAATTGACATTCCAAAATTCACATTATTGATTCGAATAATGTCCCTCATTATTAGTATTTGGAGTCTATTTTTATGTCACATCGATTATGTTGAATCAATGGTCACATTGTCAAGATTTCATTGTTAACGTTCATGTTTGAAATATGAATCTTCTCGTTGTGAATGTTTGGAGTTTGTTTTACATGTTACATTGATTATGTTGAGTCATATTGTTGAGATTTCAATATTCACGTTCAGTAAATCGTCACAATGAGAAGATTTCAATGTTGCCATTGTCGTTTTGAATAATGTTCTAATTGTTCTCAATTATAAATCTTCTCATTGTCAATATACAAGGTTCCAAACAACAAATTCATATGATTTTTAGATGCTGTCATATTCTGTAATTCTTTACATATTATCTATGAGTGATGTTATGAAATTTGGTGCTCATCAATATTCATTTTAATAGCACTGTTAATTAGTCATTCCTCTTAATGTCTTGTCTCTATTTTTGTATTACATTTTGTTGACAGATGTTATATCAACACCCAAAAAAAAAAAAAAAACACATGTGGAAAAGGTAGCTCCAGCTGATGTGAAACCCAATGTCAATATGAACAAAGTGAACTACCGTTCAAACATGACTGGTCTGATAAAGTTGATGTCAACAACGAAGTTCACTAATGGGCAGCTGAAATTTTTGAAGAGAACTCCATTTTGGATGATGTTTGATATACTGATAAACACAAAAATTGAACTATTATCATACATGAAATATGATGATGTGATAGCAAAGATCATAGAGACATACAACCTTGCATCAAATTCTTTCGAAATTGGTCCTAAATTTCTCAAATTGTCTACACATGACATCAAATTAATTTTTGGAGTAGACTGCGAATCTATGCCAATGGAAACTTCATATGGTTCGAAGCCAACATTTGGACTTATCGGCAAGAAGTGCAAGGACACACAGAGGCTTACATCAAAAAATATCTGATCTTTGATCGATGAGGCATTGGTTGGGAGAAAGAAATCAGATAATGAGAAGGTTGCTAGGTTGATTAGTTTGTATACTTGTTTAAAGCTCTTTTATTCCACAACTGGTGAGACAATTGGATGGGCATACTATCAACACATGGAGCATTTGGACAAGATGATGGAATATGATTGGGCAGAAACCATCAAGTCCACATTAATGAATTCCATTGAACTTCATCATCGACGTCCAGAATAAGTAACTGGCTGTGTTATGGCTTTAATAGTATGTAATACTACATTCGCTCACATAAATATTATTGTGTATGTCTGAAACTATACATTCACATTAGTTTATAATCATAATTTGTTTTTGACATGTTTGGAGTCTAATTTTCATCTTACATTGAAAATGTTCAATCATATAGTTGATATTCCAATATTCAAATTTTTCATTCAAATAATGTGCTAATTGTTTTTGAGTAGGAATTTTCTCATTGTTAGTATTTGGAGCCTATTTTTCACGTCACATTGATTATGTTGAGTGAATGGCCACATTGTCAATATTCCATTGTTGACATTTGTGTTTCAAGTATGCATCTTCACATTGTAAATAATTGGAGTCTATTTTCATTATTACATCGATTATGCTGAGTCATATTATTGAGATTTCAATAGACTCAAAACACTATTGATAGTGTTTGGAATTTGTTTTGACATTTCATTGATTATGTTGAGTGAATTGTCACATTGCTGACATTTGTGTTTGAAGTATGAATCTTCTCATTGTGAATGTTTAGAATTTATTTTCCATGTTACATTGATTATATTGAGTCACATTGTCAAGGTTTTGTTTTGACATTCATGTTTAAAGTATAAACCTTCCCATTGTAAATGTTTGGAGTCTAATTTTCATCTTACATTGAAAATGTTCAATCATATAGTTGATATTCCAATATTCACATTTTTCATTCAAAATAATGTGCTAATTGTTTTTGAGTAGGAATTTTCTCATTGTTAGTATTTGGAGTCTATTTTTCACGTCACATTGATTATGTTGAGTGAATGGTCACATTGTCGAGATTCCATCGTTGACATTCATGTTTGAAGTATGAATCTTTTCATTGTGAATGTTTAGAGTTTGTTATCCATGTTACATTGATTATGTTGAGTCATATTATCGATATTCCAACGTTGACATTCGTGTTTCAAGTATGAATCTTCATATTGTAAATGATTGGAGTCTAGTTTCATTGTTACATTGACTATGTTGAGCCATATTGTTGAGATTCCAATAGACTCAAAACACCATTGTTAGTGTTTGAAATTTGTTTTGACATTTTATTGATTACGTTGAGTGAATTGTCATATTGCTGACAATTGTGTTTGAAATATGATTCTTCTCATTGTGAATGTTTGGAGTTTGTTTTCCGTGTTACATTGAGTATGTTGAGTCACATTGTCAAGGTTTTGTTTTGACATTCATGTTTGAAGTATAAGTCTTCCCATAGTGAATGTTTGGAGTCTAATTTTCATCTTACATTGAAAATGTTCAATCATATAGTTGACAATTTTGGTACATTTTATGTAGTATTGGCTGTGTGTGCGTACCAAAATAGTGGAACCAATATTGGAAAATGCAGCATCTCGATTTCTCAAATGGAATCTAACAAAACTTCACAAGAATGTGAAAATTTTGTCTTTGTCGTCAATCAATGATAATGAGGTTAGATACCAACATTATCCAATGTGAATAATATTATTTATTGTACTAAAACTAACAGTAATCTCTATTACCAGGTTTATAAAGAGAAACTCATACCGACAGACCATGAAAGCACACTGTTCCTGCATACAATAATTCGGGATGGGGAGAATCAAAAAGATGCACCTCAGAGTATTATTCATCATGAAGTCAAAATTGAGAAAGAAATGGACATGAGCATACAAGAGGATGACATTGATGAGACATACAATGTAGAGTTGGGCAATCAACTACAATTTCAGACTAATGTGGATCATTACGTTAACATTGTGGAAGAAATGGGCATGAGTTCTAACATACCAGAGGATGACATTGATGTGACATATGATAGAGAATTTGGCAATGAAGCACAATTTCAGAGCAATGCACATGATAAAGCCAATATTGAGGAAGGTGCAGAGACTATTGCATATTTACATGTGCATGGGGTGCATCTACAACAAAAGTAACCTATGGTGACGAAAAGTAGTGAAGAAAATAAATTCCATCACTAAATAAGAATAATTCGTGATGAATTATAAAATTTTGTCACATATAATAAAAAAATAAAAATAATAGGTAACGAAATTTATTTTCGTGAATAAATACTTCTTTTAGGGGAGGAAAAATTAAGTTTCATCATCGAAGATTTTTCCGCTAATTTTTTTTTGTGGCGCCAAAATTTTGAGACTTTTGGTTAGAAAAAAATTTGTCACCAATTATAAAATTATTAGTGAGGAATATATTTTCGTCACCAATAATTTTACATTTTTTTTTGAAAAACTTGATTTTAAATATTTTAAGATTATTTGGTGAGAAATATATTTTCGTCACTAATAATTTTTAATATTTTGAGACCTTTTAGTGAGGAAATTATTTTGTCACTAATTTTGAAAGGAAAATTTTGACAAATTGAGCGGTAATAAAAAAAAATAGAGTACTATTTTTTTTTTTTTTGTGTTTATCAGTTTTCCTCTCATATATCTCTCTTACTACAACAAATTGCAAATTTGGCGACTAAAAAATTTCATAAAACACACAGATTTTTTTTTTTTTTTTGTGGAAATACTTTCACATTACCGCCCAATTTATGAATTATGATTTATTTTTATTTTATTTTTCATATCTTTCTCTATATTTACTTATGCCCAAAATTAAAACAAAAAAATTTGATTTAGCGCCTAATGGAATAATATCAAAATTTCAGTCCCAAATTTTTTTTCCCAGCTCCTTGATTAGAACTTTGTGCCCTAATCTAGTTATAGTTCTTTCAAAAAGCTGTAATAGAGAACCACCATTAGTTCATCCTCCACCGTGAGGACGGTTCATCCTTCACACCATGAGTTCATCCTCCACCGACATCAAGCACTACAAGAATTAACACATTTGCCGACCAAAAAATTGGTCGGCAAAAGTCTAATTTTTGGTCGGCAAAACATATTCCCGACCAATTTTTTTGGTCGCCAAGTTGGTCGGCAATTGAGGGTCGCGGAAAGTAATTAGGGACTAAAAAGATTTTTAGTCGGCAAAACATTCTATTTGGCGACTAAATTGTTGGTCGCTAAACATATAATTATTGCGACTAACCTATTTAGTCGCGAAAAGACTTTGGTCGGCAAAAATTACATTCAATGACCATACATGTTAGTCGCTAATTTGGTCGGCAAAAATTATTTTCGACGACCAACAAAATTGGTCGGCAAAAATTGCATTCCACGACCAAAACTTCTTCGTCGCTAAATATATTTTTTCTACGACCAAAAAATTTGGTTGCCATTTGTTACTTTTCGCAACCAAAACTTTTGGTCGGCAAAAGTGAGATTCCACGACCAAGAACTGTTTTGGTCGGCAATAGATGTATTTTTTGTGACCAAAACTCTTGGTCGGCAATTGTTATTTTTTGCGAAAAAAATTATTTATTTGTCGCGACTAATAAATTGGTCGCCAAAAGCAAGAAAACAATACACCTGTAATTCCTAATAATTCATTCAATCCATATTAAACCTATAATTTTAAAGCATCATTCAAATCAACTGAATCATTAACATTCGACAAAATACATAATTCATTAACATTCGACACAATACAACTATTCTAAGTTTTCATTCACAAGTCACATCCATCTAGTATAACAATTTGAAACATAACTATTTGTTATCCATGCGCAGCTATCAACAAATAAAACTACTAATATTTGTTATCCATACACATCCATCCAAAAATATTTAATCATCCCAAAAATGCTTATACTGCCAAGTAGTCTTGTACAATTTAGCTTCGTGCACGAGATCATCCATCATCCATTTATACCAAAGAAAATGAGAAATAATGTTAGGTTTGTTTTTAATGACAATATTTGAAATGGGTAATTAAATTATCAATTTCAGAGAATCGTAAGTTCAAATCAAAATTTCTAACTCATTTGTAGGTAATTAAATTATCAATTTCAGAGTATAAGCTACTAATTACAAATTTAAAATGGGTATTAACAGATTGGACAATGAGACTCATGTTTACACAGAGAAAAGTGCAAGGTTCATATATGGTCATGGCAAACACAATCAAGCTTGACAAGCACAGACAGACATAGAAGACTATTACAGTGTTGAAAACAATCTTTCTCTTATTTATGGTTTTCTCTGTTTTTTCATTTCATTTCTTTTCTTTTTCTTTGTTTATGGTTTATTTGTTTCTCCTTATGTAGTTACTTCAAAGGAATGATCCTGAAAAGTTTGTGAACCCCGGAATCGACCCTCCTAAGGGTGTTCTATGTTATGGTCCACCTGGTACCGGTAAGACACTTTTAGCTAGAGCTGTGGCTAATAGAACTGATGCGTGTTTCATCCGTGTTATTGGAAGTGAACTTGTTAAGAAATATGTTGGGGAGGGTGCCCGTCTGGTTCGTGAACTATTTCAGATGGCACGTTCCAAAAAAGCTTGTATCGTGTTTTTTGATGAACTAGATGCCATAGGAAGTGCACGTTTTGATGATGGTGTGGGTGGAGACAATGAGGTTCAGGGCACTATGCTTGAAATTGTGAATCAGCTTGATGGATTTGATGCTCGAGGGAACATCAAAGTTCTGATGGCAACAAATCGACCAGACACTCTAAACCCTTCTGTTACTAGTGGATCCGTGGTTGGTGCTATTTGATTATATAGTCCATCAAATGTATCATCATGACAGTTTCAGATTTGCAATAGCTTTTTTGTGCTAAAAAAAAAAAAAAAATGTCTAACTTTTTATGTGCCACCACCAAGGTCGAACACAAGGATGTTCTTCTCACCACCTTTACTGTCGAATCCATAGGCAATAGCTGCAGCAGATGGTTCATTTAAAATTCTAGCAACATTCACACAATACAACTATTCTAAGTTTTCATTCACAAGTCACATCCATCTAGTATAACAATTTGAAACATAACTATTTGTTATCCATGCTCAGCTATCAACAAATAAAACTACTAATATTTGTTATCCATACACATCTATCCAAAAATATTTAATCCTCCCAAAAATGCTTATACTGCCAAGTAGTCTTGTACAATTTAGCTTCGTGCACGAGATCATCCATCATCCATCTATACCAAAGAAAATGAGAAATAATGTTAGGTTTGTTTTTAATGACAATATTTGAAATGGGTAATTAAATTATCAATTTCAGAGAATCGTAAGTTCAAATCAAAATTTCTAACTGATTTGCAGGTAATTAAATTATCAATTTCAGAGTATAAGCTGCTAATTACAAATTTAAAATGGGTATTAACAGATTGGACAATGAGACTCATGTTTACTGTTCTTCAGACTCATGCTTATAATTAGTATGATAACGAGCAACCTGTATGTCATAATATTAAAGGAAAATGTATGACAAGATAATTTACTGTTATTGAACAGACACAGAATCATCATGTATTTTTGCTAACGAGGCTAATATACATATTCTCAACTTCAAAGAGCTTCCAATTGATGGTGCACTTGAAGATGGATCCTATGTGATTAACAAGACAGGAAAGAGAGTACTTTCTACATCAATATTGTTCACCAGTGTCCTACCACCGTGGTACAGCGTTTTAGGACATTAATATTCCATTTCATTCCAAGGCCAGAGGAAATTAAAAATAAATAAATAAATAAAAATTTTAACATGTAATAGTACCTAAAGTGGCAACAATTTTAATGCTACATCTGTTTAATGATTACCTGGTCGAAACCCATTTATTGACTAATCAGAAAACATTCAAAGGTTGGAGTTGGTAGGTTGTCATTAACTGGATTTCCATGTGAGGTTGGTGAAAGGAATCATCAACCTATTATTGGGTCTTGGCATCAACAACATTTGCTCTACCTTCATTTGTAAATAATTCAATATTATAATGCTATGTTTATATATATATATATATGACAAGAGGTGTCACACACAGAGAGAGAGAGAGAGAGAGAGAGAGAGAGAGTGTTGATAGTTTGGAATTTGGAGTGTTGATAGTTTCGAAAAGAAAAGTAGAGCCTTGTCCTTAATATATTCCTCTGCTTATGCCCTACTGAGAAAATAATAGAAAAGCAAAGAAAAGAAGTTAAAAAACTAACAAGTTGTAGCAACAATGGTGGCCAAGAAGCCAACAATGGTGGCCAAGAAGCAACAATGATTTCCCAATTCAGAAAATTGCTCAAGAAATCCATTCACTTGACTCTAATCAGCATTGGGAGTGTATGTATGGGGCTGCTTTACTGTTTGATGGTGTTCTTGATCTTCAAAGCAAACTAGTTAAAGATTATGTTTGGCATTGAATATAGTTGTTGTATATTTTTAACAAACATGGATCTGGCATTATTTAAGTCTAAACTGAATATCTTCCCTAGTTTATCATCTTCCTTCACCAGATTTAATTTATGTTCACATATTAATGTAGCTTCTTACATATGTGGTCTATTATGATGTTCGGACATAATGAGCAGGTTCACACATTCAAGAAAGCATGTGTAGTTGCTTATCCAAGAACAGAGACTCAAAATGACATCAGCCTCTTTTGGCGTAACTCTAATCCTCAATACAAAGATATCCTTTGATCAACAAACCCCCATATATCCCAGAACTGGATGACCTAATGTTATACTAAGTTGATGGGAAATAGAGAGATATCATATGTGTATGCAGAGATAAAGTCGTCCTAATATATATTTTTCATTTCAAAACAGAAGGTATGTACTACTACTGATTCCAGTCTCAAAACAGAAGGCATGTGGTTTTTCATCATCCGCTTCAATCTATGTGGAACTTTAAGTACAATTTAAATTTAGTACTTCTGTCTAAATAGAATACTAAAATTAATAATTTTGAAATATTTCTTAATTTTTTAAGATGTACATGTAAACAAAATTAATAAAAAATTAGACAAAAAAAACTAAATTAAAACTAAACTTAAAATGTAAAGACCAAATTGTTCAAATTAAAACCATAGGAACTAAAGTAAAATTCTGATCAAATTATAGGAATGGAAAGTGTAATTAATCCTAGATAAAGTGTCACAAGTTTCTAACTTTGTAGACCCTGTTTTGTTGTCCTTTGAGTATATAATCAACTACAATCCAAGAACCATCATTAATTATAACTTCCAATCTTATAAATAAACCTACAGAAGCAACCCAACAATACATAGTTTAGATACAACAATAACACCAAACACAAGTTTTTTAAAACACTTCAAATATATATATATTCAATCTAAAAGAAACAAATCAAAAATCGCTACTGAATCAAGCTCTCCAACAATATATATATATATATTCAATCTGCAATAGATAGATATAAATAGATAAAAACATATCTACATGACATATATATATATATATATATATATACCACTAACAAGAACTAAAAAACAGAGACAAATCTAAAAGATTGATCATATTGAAGATCTACGTGCACATCAAACTTCAACAACAACCTTCAACAACAACAAATCAGATCAGTCAACTCTGGTGTGTTAATCAAGTAGTCCAGTTTGGTTCTGGTTTCTTATAGGCAATAAAATATGAAACCAACCAAACACCAAAACAAGTAACAAACACTTTCATCAAAATATTTTACACCAAAGCAATTGGAGCAAACAAGGAAACTTCAAAAATTACCAGTACAGGTAGTTGAAATGCCATGGCTTCAATGGTAATCCTCCCAAAACACTCTTCCCGGGCCTACGTGGAGGAGAAAGAGAGGGGAAGAGAAAAGGAATTAATATTATCGAAAATAAATTTCAGCACCCCAGGTAATTTCTAATACACAGAATCTAGAATATAAATAGTAAAACATTTAAAAAATAAAAAATAAGAAGTTGACAAGAATGAAATTAATATGTACAACAGACTAATAAGTAACACAACAATTGAATAGAAAGTGAATAATGCCTAAGACTAAGATCAAATTCGAGACATCTAAAATGAGCCAGAAGTAACTATGAACTATCAAAGAACATTATATGCATCATATGATTGCCTTGAACAGAAGAGCTTCCTAACCAGGAACTTTCTGAACTACTTTGTAGACATTAATAAGAATCATTTATATGACCAGTAAATAGCATCCCTCATGACACCAACCACTAGGATGCTGATAGTTTGCAAAAATACTTGGTTGCAGGAATCTTCTGAGTGTGACTTTCTACTCCAGAAACACGATTCCATGGTTCAAAGTAAGAAACTTTGTTAGAACCATGTTCCCATAGAAATAGAATTGATGTTCCAATTGAGATGAGACCACTCAAACATATGAATCCTAAGAAAATAAAAGAAAAACTATCAAGATAGAATCAAAAACCACAATTCATAGCTTTCATACACCAAATCAGATCAGTTTTATTAAAGCTAAACCAATACAAACAACACACAGATTGAAATAGAGAGAGAAAGAGAGATTGAAATCGATCGAACCTTTAGACGAAATCGAACTGCTTGAAGCTCGGTGAGACGGCGTAGAGATCAAGGAGAGAGAGAGAAAGAGAGAGAGAGATACGAGGCAGGAGAAACGTCGTAGGATTAGGGTTTGATAAGAAGAGAGATCAATCATGGAATAGGAGGGTTAGTGTATGTACCTGAAGGATGAGGTCGTCGTAGATATCAGTGATCTTGTTGTAGGATTTGGAAGCCATTGCGTCGCTGTGGATCGCTCACGATGGTGTGATCTCGGCCTAGGACTCGCTGTGGATCGCTCACGATTGCGTCGCTGTGAACCTTTAGAGAGATTTGGGGATAAGGTAACAGAGGCGCCGAAATGAGATAGTTTAGAGGGAAATTTGAACATTGGCGAATTTGGGAGGAAGATAAAATATTAGGTGCTGTTTGGTTGATTTTTTTTTGGAAAATATTTTTTTTGAATTTTTGGTTTTAATTTTTTGAAATTTGAGATTTTTATTTTTACTTTTAGTGAATATTTTTAAAATTTTAAGCATTTTTTTAGATTTGTTTAGATTTACCTTACTTAGATGTATCAAAAAATTAAAATATTTGTCAAAAAATATTTTAAAAAATTAATAAATACACAAGAATACAAAAAATGTAATGATTTCTCAAAAAGAATTATTTTTAGTATGTAGTGAATTTTTTAAATATTTTTTCACAAATATTATACTTTTAAAGTCTATTTATGTTTAGTATACCGAAATTTTTTAAAAAACATTAGAATATAACTTTTAATGGAAATAAAAAAATACGGAAAATAAAAAAATTTAATTTTCTGAAAAGTGAATACTGAAAATCCAAACCAAACAAGCTAGTCATATCCGTCGTAAAATTATATAAAATTGACAAGTAATGTAGTTTTGATCAATTCAAGCAACACACATATTGAAATAGATGAAAGAGAGATTAAAAGTTTAGGTGAAGCTTTCAATGGCTGAAAGCAAATTCATGAGAGAGATTACGAGGAAAATGTGAGAGAGAGAAAGAGAAGAAGACGAAGAAGAAGAAGAAAAAGAAAAAGAAATGTGAAATTGGAATTTGAACAAACGAGAGAGAGGAATGAGAGCAGGTGGAGACATACTAGGGTAATGGTCCAATAGTGGATCGACAGTGGTGCTCGATGGCAGTGATGCTCCTTACCAGACGACGATGGAAACAAAGCGACAAAAGATTCAATATCAGGAGAAGGGCAATCGGCGTGAGAGAGAGAGAGAGTGATGGAATGGGAGAGACAGAGGCGTGAGAGA